ATCTGCTGTCTGCAAACATAGTCAGGACCGCCCAAGCCATTATATTCGCTTCGATAGACCTCAAATCCTGGCGAAAGAAAACCGATATCGCCCTAGAATGATTCGAGAAGCCATAGAAATTAAAAAACATCCTAATTTCAATAGGGAAGATGGCTGGGTACTACCATCGTCATGGGATCCTGTTATTAATATAATAAAATCAAATAATAAATATAAACATAACAGACAGGCAGATGTAGTAAGTTCATACTGTGTAGATCAAAATGACAGCTTATCAGACTAATATTTTTCATTTTTCATTTGTAAAAGTATATATTAATAGTGTTGCTTAGTAAGTTGTTTTTAAAAAATAGCAAACTAAATTAAAATTATTATCCTTAATTAATTTTAACTTTTTTAAATTACACATAGAACAATTATATGGCTTTAATAATTAATACTACATTTTATATTTTTCTTTATGGTTATAAATATAATAATGGCAACACTAAATATAGATTACTAATTAATATTTAAAATTGTAATAATTATAAAAATAATAGCAAAATTAAATAAATAATTTTCCATATTCAATTATAATTAAAATTATAAAAATGTTTAAAGTTAAAAAATATTGTAATGTAATTGGTGCAATTTTCATTTTGTTAATTGTGGGTAGGCTGTCTGTAACAACTATACATTCAAGACATGTAACACCTCAGTCTCTCCCGTGACCATGGATGCTGTAAAGCATTCGAAACGTCGGGAAACAAAAATCCAAATAAATCCGCGACAAAATCCGAAAAGATAGTTTTATTTAAAATGTCAAATATTCGCGTAAATCTAAGAAAGTATTAGATGGCGGATTATTAAGTAAATATATCAATTATTAAATTAAAAAAAACTTTCATTAATAAAGTGATATAATAATAATAGCCCTAATTTTATTTAAAATATTTATTCAATATTGTTAGTTCCTTTCTTTGCTATTTATATTGAATGTTATGATTATAATACTTTCTTAGATTTACGCGAATATTTAAAATTTTAAATAAAACTATCTTTTCGGATTTTTTCGCGGATTTATTTTGATTTTTGATTCTCGATTTTATCGGTTTTATTTCGCGGGTCTATCAAAGCGAATATAATGGCTTGGGCGGTCCTGACTATGTTTGCAGGCAGCAGATGTTGTATAATGCCTTTAAGACATCTAAAACCTTAGTCTCTCCCGTAACCAAGATTGCTGTAAAGCATTCGAAACGTCGGGAACCAAAAATCAAAATAAATCCACGAAAAAATCCGAAAAGATAGTTTTATTTAAAATGTCAACCTAAACGATTTTAAAGCGTTTAAAGACATCCACTTCCTGGTCCTAGCTAACCAAAGAACCTTACAAGTGTTACGTGCACTCAAATTTCCTTTTTCATCTCTATAATCATACGAATAGTACGAGTAACTATGTTACAGACAGGTAAGATAAAAATATATGATAATAATATATAAATTGTATAATTAACGTTTTTAGATACGAAGCTCTAAAAAGAGAGCCCCACTGAAGAGAGTCTTAAAATCCTTAGAGTCCTTAAATGTTAAAATATCTTTCGCTAATTAATAAGCTTATTTTTGTAATACTTTTTCTAATTTATAAGTTATACCTCAAGGGTGCATTATAAATTTCACAAAAAAAAACGACATCAGCTTGGAATAAATATTTTCAAATAATTTTAAAGTTCATTTACCTTTTTACCCGACTGCGGCGAAGCCCAAAACAGGTGGCAGTCGAAGACATACGTAGCAAGACTCGTAGGTAGTATAAAACATGTATGTCTCCGACTGCTTAATACTATGTTCCTCATTACTTGTTCTCATTTTTTTAGTTCGCTTTTTACGCAGTCGGTTTTTTTTTATTTTTGAAAATGATTTTTTATTTAGCTAAAAAGTTTTTATCTAAGATATAGCTGATATTATTATTGCCATTAGTTTAAAATACATCGTCATAATTTTTAAAGGAAATGAAAGTTCTTGCTGTCTTGTGAGGTATTGTTCAGTTCTTGGGACCGATTTCTTTTAGCTATTGATACTTTGCCACGACCATTGTATTTGTTTAATAATATCTAAAGAAGTTCATTTATACGTCTTTCTGTAAATTCCAATATAAAAACATCTACTGAAATTATATTCCATACATCATTTCGTGTTCAGTGTTTATTTATTTATTTACGATTTTCCAGCTGTTTTTTGGGATTTTCCTATTTGTTTATACTTAAACCACCCCTGACTTACCCTCAATAAAACAAAAAAATAATTATTCAAATCGGTCCAGTTGTTTTTGAGTTTTAGCGAAACTAACGAACGGCAATTGATTTTTATATATGTATATAATATATAGATTTAATAGACCACCAACAAAGTACTTGCTTAAATATTACTACATTCACAGAAAATAAAATAAATAGAGTGATAAAGAAATCCAAAAATTATATGAAAAAAAAACAACATTTAAAATATTAAAAAAAAACTCATAAATATTTATAAGCTATACAAATAAGATTTAAGTGAGGAATTGTGAAGCTGAAGTGAATGTTTTTTAATTATTTGAACGCGATAAATTTTGAAACTATCGTAGCAGTACAATTATGAAAATCGGTTAGCAATTACCATATTTTCGCTAATTAGTCTTTTCTAACATAGACAAAAAAGCAATACAGCTGATTCTCATTTTTAAGAGTTTTGTAGCCAAAAGTCAAAAATTTAACCGTTCAAATTTTATTGTATCCGTCTGTTTGTGTTTATATTAATGGTTTGTGTCTTGATTATATATAGTCATTTTAAGCCAATTTTTTGAAGAAGATTATAGATTTTTATGTTATTTAAATAAAATATTACAATTTTTAGGAGTTGATAATACACGAGTGGAGCCGCGGGCAAAAGCTAGTACGATAAAATAAAACCGTCTAAGTATTATGTCCATTTAATTGGTATTTTAAATGTTTACGCGCGGATTAAAATTTTCTGTGATATTTTAAGTTCACACGGTTTTTTGCAATCGATCACTTAATTTTTTTTTGTATAATTATAATTTTCCCAACAACTCTTCTAAATAGCAAATCTCTGTGGTACATAGAAAACTAGTTCTTGCCCGCGGCTTCGTTCGTTTTCGTTCGTTCGGTAACTGGGGCAAGGATCAAAGTTATTCTGTGTTGATTCCCAGGATGCAATCTATATCCTTGGCAAATCTTATCAATATCTGATCAGCGATTTATACATGGAAAGAAAACAGATCGAGTTACATTTACTAATATAGTATTAGTATGGATTGACAAGGGACGTTCGCGGCAGCTTTCTTTAGTTGTGAATGTTATTGCTTTTATCTATACGGGATTGTTTTAAGTTCCTGATATTTCAGCACTGTTACAAATATACCGTTTTATATCATTAAGGCAAAGAAATATGTAGTGACCATGAATGCTTAAAGAATTTTATTAGTGTGTAACAAACTACAAAAACATTGTACAAATGTTTCAAGATATGTAGATAACAAAGCGTGTGAATTTGTGGGCAAAAACTACTGATTAATAAAAAAAGCTTGTAATTAAGATTTATAGTCAATATATAGCAAGCAAGAACCGTGGATTTTTTGTTTTAACCAAGTTTAAAAACGAGGAATTCAATTCATATTTTTTTTAATTGATAGATTAAATAGGTCCGATATAAATTGTAAAAAATCCACCTCAAACTGTAGTGTAAGTAATAATTAATTATTTATGTGATTTTAAGTCGATGTACCTTTTTTTGTTAAAGTTTCATTATATACGGAATCAGTGTTTGTGTGTTGTTTATGGAAACTATCCGGTACCCAAAATAAAAATTAGTTAATATACTTAAATTCATATATAGAGTCTAACAAACATCAATTATTATTTTAAATATAAATATGCTGGGACAGTAACACACATCACCATCTAGTTCCATGGTAAGCTACGAGGCTTCTTGTGTTATGGATACCAGATAGTTGATACACTACACATATATAACTTTAAATACATATACATATCTACACCAATATTATAAAGGGGTAAAGTTTGTGAGTTTGTGACGCTGTAGGGGGTAATCTCTGCATTTACTGAACCGATTTAGAAAAACTTTTTATCTCGGAAATTATCACTTAAGGGGGTGGAAATGGGAATGAAAGTTTGTACGGGGAATCAACCTAGGGACGAACCCGAGTGAAGCGAGGGTGAGTCGCTAGTTATAAATATAAACACACATGACTGGAGTACAAACATTCGTGCTCATCACACAAATGAATGCCCCCAGCGGGACTCGAACCCGCGACCGTTGGCACAGCAAGTAGGACCACTACAAATTGAGCCAAACGTATCGTCATTATATAAAAAAAAGAGTAAATCCTAGATAAAGAAATAGTCTTAGAAATTGATAACTGCCATATAATAATAAAAAAGCTTATCTCACTTCAAGTAATAGACGCTCATAATATTACCGATATGACCTATCGATAACTTTCGTAACTGACGTAACTGTGAAAGCCTTTCTTCAATGAAATAGATTTATGAATCTTATTGCCTACACATAAGGTACAATTTAAATCGATTTCCTATTTTAGTATATATATAAATGAACTATTAAAATAATTATTTTATAGGTATACACTAATATTATTTATTAGTTTCTAGTACCTACTAATATGGCATATAAGAAAATAACACGTATACAATAATTATACATATACAGTATACATCTATGTATTGAGTAAGAGTTAGAGTAGGATCAAATTTATTCCAAACAGACATAAGAGTTTTTTTGTATGTTTAGTGATGTAGCAAATTTTGATGGTGTTTTGACCCTTGGGAGAAAGTTGCGAGTTCCGGTATAATCTGACACCTATAATCTGAGTGTGGGGATACACGCTCACTTGCCTGCAAAACGCTAAGCGGCGCGCATCTCTACAATACGGTTACATGTGTCTGTGATAACGTGTTGTGTTATAATGATATAAAAAAATGGCAAATTTTAAATTATTTTTGTTTATAACCGTCATATTTTTTACTAATGCGGACGAAGATTTGAAGGATTTTGAATTTTCGGAGCCTCACGAGCTGTTGATTGCCCAAGAGTCCAGAAATTATGAGACAGTGGTCAAACCTCCTGTGAGGATAGTAAAACCGAATGGTGTGACAAATTCCCATAGGCCACAATATAATCTGGACTCGTTGGAAGATGTTAATTTTGAGACCACTAAGCGACCTGTAGTCAAAAATTATAAGTTAAGAAAAAATAAGGAAGGCATGATTAGAGAGGCAGTTCTGCGAGCGTTGGAACGGAAGGACCATGTGGGGAAATTTGCTCAGATCCTGCCCATCATCAGGGCGATGTCAGGAAACCAGAGGGTGGCGCTGGCTTCGTTGGTGGCCAGTCAAGTTACTACACCCCCTGGAAGGCAGCCATTAAGTCTTTCTCAGGTAGTTCTTTCATATTTCTTCATAAGCCTGTTAAAAACCTTTTTAGTATGATTCACAGAATTGAATGACAATCAATAGCTGTAAAGCTTTAAACATATTATTATAATATTATATTTATATATTTATTTAGAGATTAATGTTATATTTTCAAATATATAGGATATATTCTCCATCTATATATACAATTATACAAATAAAATTCTGAGCCGAATTCGTACATTAAATATTTTTTTTGGGAAAATCTTATTGAAATAGTCATTATTATCGATACAGAGGCCATTTATAGTTTTTAGAATTTGCGTCTATCTGTCTGTCTGGGAAGGCTGATGGTTTTTTTATGGTATTATTTTAAATTAACAATAAAATATATTCCTACACTAATAACTTAAGTAGTAGCTTTCTTGTATGATTTGAAAGCACTTATGTAACGCTTCATTGCCATCGCTTATATTTGATAATACGATTTTATGCAAATTCAACATTGTGTTTATGTTTAAATAATGCTTATTTTATATGAAGCGTATACATTTAAATAATAAGTAGCAATTGATATACAGTTTTTTTTTATTATAAAAGTATTTTCACTTAAAAAAGTTCTATAATTGAATTGATGCAGTATAGTGCGATTCGTGCAGTTTAAAAAAAGTCTGCGACATAAAATACATTATTAGTTAACTTAGACTTAAAAAATGTATTAAATATATAACGGGATTTTTACTTGTTATCTTAATTATTTTCATGCCCTATTTGCGGTCTTCTCCAAGCGTCGGTCGCGATTAAGTCCTATAAGTAGAAAGCTTAATAACTTAAAAAAATGCTGAAGATTACAAGTATTAAATATTAAAGTCGACCGCAATGAAAATAAAATATTTTATTCTCAAATCGATACTAGATATAGGAGGACACTTGGATCAGTCCTTAAACACGCTGTTTCAAATCAATATCGCTTCATAACTAAAAAAAGACATAACGCATACATATTATTTCCACATATTTTTTAATCTCTCGTTAAAGATAGCGGATAGTAAAATATCATCTTTTCTAAACCCACAATAGTGTAATGAAATTGTACTAATTAGCACCTTTCTGAGTAGATTTTGTCTCTATTACAGAAAAAGTATACTCGTACTTCCATTTTACAACATTATAACAGCGAGGAAATCTATTCCCACAAGTGTTAAGGTTTTTGTGTCTAACAGTACAGTTATTACTGTCGCAATTTCTATGTGAAACGCGACCAGTTTCCCTTTTTAATTATTGAAAAAAATTGTAACACTAGCATAGTTTGTTTGTTTAACGCAAGGTCGTAGGTTTGATTCGCATTAGACACAAATATTTTTTGTATAGTTAATAGGTACATTTCTTTCCATTTTTGTCATGTTTTTTTTTCAGTGTTTTTTCAGTTTTTTTTTAAATTCGATTCCCTATTTTGTTCTCCTAATAATAAAAACTTGATACATTCTTGTTCTCTACTGTTCCTTTCTGAAGCTTTAACTGTGTTTTTTTCAATCGATTTATTTATGTGTATTGTGTGTATCCAGCCCTGTTTTTAATGTCCCACTGCTGGGCACGGGCCTCCCTTCAGTACGAGGGGAATCAAGCCATAGTCCACAACGCTGGCCAAGTGCGGGTTGGCGGACTTCACATGTCTTTTGAAAACTTGCTGGGTTCTCTCAGACATACAGGTTTCCTCACGATGTTTTCCTTCACCGTTAAGACAAGTGGAAGTTGATTGTAATCATGTTGAAAATGATTCGCACATGAAAATATCAGAGGTACGAGACCCGGGATTTGAACTCACTTCACTCGGTTTCCTAAGCGAGTGCGCTACCACTCGGCTACCACTGCCTCACTTACTTAAAAGTAAATAAAAAAGAAAAAAATATGCCGCAAGTAATCGACCATCAGTATCACAAGATGTTATATTATACATATATATGTATATTATATACAATGAATATTTTATTTTTATATACAATGAATATTTTTTTTAATTAACTGCCTCGGTGGTGTAGTGGCTAGCATGTACGGCTGCACACTCGGAGGTCCTGGGTTCGAGTCCCGGGTCGGGCCAAGTTTAATTATTGAGTCTTTCTGTATAGTAAAGTCTCAGTAACAGCCCGGAGTTGGGAAGTTGGCGGTGTTTCACCCCCGTGCCGTCGGTCCTGCGTCTTAACTCTCACTGGTCGTATCGAGTGGTCGTCCCACCAGAGTATGAGAGTGACAGGTATAGAGAGTGCACGTTGTGTCTGCACGTACACATGTGCACTATAGTATCTCCTGCGCAGTTGGCTAGTCTCAATGAGATTGGCCGCCGTAGCCGGAATCGGCTAGGAGAACATCACAATGAATATAAGCATACTATTATATAAATATATTATATAGGTATGTTCATGTTAATATATTATATATTATGTAGGTATGTTCTCATGAATTATTAATTATTATTATTATACCTATAAAAATTTTGCCTTATGAATTTGCCGTATTTTATGCAGAAGTTTTTACATAAAATTTTAAAGCCATTTGATTAAAATACGATTTTCGGCAATGATTTAGAGTTGCTACTGGAGTGTTATATATTTTATCAACTTATTTCCCTGGAACTACAGTATATCGAAGAAATTAGTATTAAATGAATTAGTATTAGAAGAAGTTAGTGCTGAAGTAAGGTTAGGCACATGTCTAGTTTACTTAATTGTTTCTACTTAGCAAGGCCTAATTAGTTTTCATATTTTTTGCAGTTCTTACAAAAAGTTATTAAGATATCAATTACTATTTGCAACTTTGCTTTACAAATATTTAGATTATTAGAAACTTCGTCAAGGATTTCATCATTTGAACTTTATTCATTTTCTTAGTAGGTACTAGACAAAAAAAAAATCTAATATAAAAAAAATATTATTTCAGCAATATTGTTGAAATCTATTCGTTGGTATAGATAAAAATTATAGATGGTCGACAATGTTGCCACAAGACCCTATGAGTAGAATTCATTTCTTCTACATTTTACAAAACCATTTTATTATTTTCTATTTTTATGTTAGATAATATTCTTCTTATTATTCACTTTTTACTATTTAAACCGTTTTTCAAAATCGAGATAATTCATTCACATGGACATAATGCACTAAAATATAATACGAGAAAAGTGAAAATTATTTATATAGTACCGAGTGAAGCGGGTTCAAATCCCGGATCTCGCACTTCTGATATTTTCATAGGCGAATCATTCCTAACATGATTACCACTTGTCTTACGATCAAGGAAAACATTGTGAGGAAACCTATTAAGTTTTCGAAAGATATGTGAAATTCACCAACCCGCACTTGGCCAGCGTGGTGGCAAACTACACACATAAATTCAAAATATTCATTATAAATCAAACTAAATCCGCTAAAAAATCTGAAAAGATAGTTTTATTTAAAACCTCTAATCAATTTCTCGTATACGGTCTACTTGACTACACGCAAAAATATACGGTGTAGAAAAAACGATCCCGTTCCGTACCGGAACTCGAATGGAACTCGGGAGATAATTTACACTCGTCTCTTTGCACAATAACAATTCATATTAAAACTATTTTTAGAAATTTTAGATAATTTGAAAAGAATTATTATTTTAATTTATAGAGATTGGCCCTCACTTAATTTGGGTGCGTAAAATTAGCCTATGTATTACTCCAGGTCATAGTTTGTCTATGTACTATACTAAATATCATCCAAATTTTCCACAGCCATACCTACAGTGTGTATTCAGCTCTCTTTAACGTCCCACTGCTGGTCACAGGCCTCCCTTCAATGCGAAGGGGATCAGACCATAGTCCACCACGCTGGCCAACTGCGGCTTGACGGACTTCACATGTCTTTCGAAAACTTGTTAGGTTCTCTCAGACTTCATGCAAGTTTCTTCATGATGTTTTCCTTCACCGTAAGCCGGTTTCCCAAGCAAACACGCTACCACTGGGCTACCACTGCCTTTTTATACAACTTAGCTTACAAATATTTTATAAGCCAAGTATAAATAAAATACAAAACCATTCTTAATATATTTTTTGTTTTAAATCAAAGGAAAATGAAAGCTATACTTTCAATCTTTTAAAGCAAAACGTACTGTCACAATTTGGTAACATTATAAGATTAAACATACAAAATGGATATAAAATTCCTAAAGTGAAGAGTACGCTTCGGACACAGCTCACTAACGGCGAAGTATTTCCCTCCATAAATATTCAGCCATACTGTTAAATGCCTCTAATACAACGAAGTAGTTATTACTACAAGTCGGTCAGTTAAGTATATCGCGTTAGGCCTTACTTGTTTGTATGCAGTAAACATGCTAGCCAACAAATTGAAGTACTTTTTTAAAATCATTTCTATTGTACTTCTTAGATTAACGCGAATATTTGAAATCTATAAAGATAAATTGAATTGAAGTGTCTGTTGGTAATGTCATAATAACAGCTTTTTACTAAATGCACATGAAATTATATACGGTACTCATAAGAAAAACACAATTCTTATAATTTATGTTTGTCTGTTCGTCCGTTTATTCCGGGTAATCTCAGAATTTTGATGGTACTTTCACTGACAGATAGCTTATGTTATTAGGAGTAACTTAGGCTACATTTATTTTAGAAAAAGATTATGGTTTCGCTCAAAAAATTAAAACGTTCGTAGTTTTAAATCAAATTTATCTTTTCGGAATTTTCCTCGGTTCTATTTTAGTTTTTCTTAATTTTCAAATGTTTTATAGCATGAGAGAGACCGTTATCATGTTTGCTTAGTTAGTTTTATTTAAAACTTCACCTTTAAAGCTTAGAATAATTTTTATACTTTTTTCAATTTCCAACACATTTATTCCATTCTATGCGATTTTAGTAAAGACACACAATTAAAATTCATAGATAAAATAATTGAATTGATAAATTTCAACAATACTTTTACATATCAAATATAATTTGCTACAGTAAAAGTATTTACATATCTATTTATTCCAAAATTGAAGTACAATATGACATAATATAAAAATAGATTTTTTTTAATGTTAACTAAACCGTATGAATCTAACAATCGCGTGTTTACATAATTACGAGTATATTCAACAGTTTCATGCATTTATTAAATTTGCATACACACATAAATCATTGTTTCCGTATCATATAATAAGTTTGCAAGCTAAAGTTTCCTGGGTATCATAACTCTGATATTTTCATGTGCGAATCATTTTCAACATAATTATCACTAGTCAATAAGTGCCTTTTTGGTAATTTTTTCAGCAGCCTCGGAAAAATATGAACGAGATGTCATTCGATTCGGAATGGTATGTAGATGCTTTTTGAAAAAAAATTAAGTTCCGCTTGCAAAAATTGCAAAAATTATAAACATTTAACTAAAAAAAGGAAAAAGGGGGGTTTCGTTCTTTGCAAATACATATCTCAAAACTAATTCAGATTTTTCAAATCTAAAAAAAAAAATACGGCCGAAAACGGGTTCTATGGCTTGCGCAAGCCACGCCTACTTCGGACACTTTAAACAAATCAATTCTCGCATTTACTCATTTCTAATAAATAAGTATATGTTGATTGTTAAGACATTAACACATCAGGACCATCTAGTTCCATGGTAAGCTATAAGGCCTGTGTTATGGGTACCATATAGTCTACACATTTACGAATAACTTTATCGAATGTCGAAATAGATTATTACAAGAATACTAGCTAAGTTTCTACCTTAAAAGTACATGAATTTGAAGAACTTATCGTGAAATGCTTTCGTTCTGGAACAACAAAGCACTTTCCCTCGTCTTACGGTTATACTTTCAATTAAACTGTGAAATTTTGACAGCTACTCGTGCTTTGTTTGTGCTTATATATTTTTTATCAGCTCGATGGTATCGATTTATTATATTTATAACGATATGATAATAATAAGACTAAAAAAATAATACATTTATATTAATACTAGCGGCTCACGCACACAATTATAAATATTAAAATAGTGTAATTACAAAAACTGTACGTTTCGTGGAGAAATATTAAATACTTTAGTTTTTTTAATACTACCATTTGAGGTATGACAGTAATAATAAGCACTATTTGAAAGATTTTTTTCCTAAGAATCGAATTTAAGTCCTTTGGTATCCTAAGATTATCAGCTTGATATAACAAATGAAAAAAAAACGTGCAAAACTTAAAATTGTTTGGTTTGGTTGGACCAAAAAATCCGCGAAAAAATTCGAAAAGGTTTTTTTATTTTAAAATGTCAAATATTCGCGTAAATCTAAGAAAGTATTACTAAAAAACATTTATAATATTAGTATATAAAAAAATATTAAAAGGTACATAATCACTCGAAGTCTATATAATTTATCGCATTATTATTTACGAGATACTAAAACGAGTATTTCAATATTTTTTTCGCATAACAGGATATGATTGCAACAAATACATATTAGTTATACAATTTATGTAAATGTTATAAAAGTGATATTGCACTACATTTGAGAAGCTTTCTTTCGCTGACGACATTTTAGACTAAAATAAAATTTAAGTGTAAGGTAGTAATGGCCCATTGGTAACGTGCTTGCTTGGGAAACCGAGTGAAGAGGGTTCAAATCCAGGTCTCGCACCTCTGATATTTTCACGAGTGAATTATTTCTAACATGATTACCTCTTGTCTTATGGTGAAGAAAAACATCGTAAGGAAACCTGCATGTCTGAAAAAAAAATTGCAGGTTTTTGAAAGACACGAGCAGTCTGCTAACCGACACTTGGCCAGCTTGGTGAACTTGGATGGGAGGCCCGTGCCCAGTAGTGGGACGTTAAAAGAGGGCTGAATTGAATTTTAATTGTAAAATTTTGTGATGAGTAAACATTTTTGAGTTTGTCTTTTATTAGTTTACTACATTATTTATAACTTAAAAATAATAAAATTTAAAATGAATATTATTCATTTAATCTTATAAAATACTAGCGACTTAAACTTGCTTCGCTCGGGTTCGTCCATAGGTATCTATATTCATGGGATTTATTTTTTTGCGCGGTACCCTAATTCTTATTCTAAAATAAAACTAGCCTAAGTTACTTCTTATAACATCAGCTATCTCTCAGTGAAAGTCCCGTCAAAATCTGCCTAGTCGTTTCTGAGGTTATCCGGAACAAACAGACAGACAGATAGACAGACAGACAGATATAAAGACAAAATTTTAAAAAATTGTTTTTTTCTTATATATACCATATGTACTTTCATATGCATTAAATAAAAAGCTGTTATTTTTACATTACAAACAGACACTTGTATCTTATTTATCTATAGATAAGTTTGTTTAGATAACATTTTAATACAAAATAGCCTAATCAACAAAAACGAACCCAGTAACATTAAAAACAATATATGTAATTATTACAATGATTATTATACATGCTTCATAATAGTAGCGGGAAAATCTCAGGCTTTTTTAGTTTGACCTCACAACATTGTACGTTATCGTTTTAATTATAACAAATGTATGCACTTGAACACAATTTTATTTCAAATGGCCTTATATAATTATCATGACGTTCATTCAAAGTCCACTTCTTACCACAGTATAAACAGAAGCTATTTAAGTTAAAAACTATGCCGTGTAATGCTTAATGAAAGTTGTCCCACAATCTGATGTAAATTTTCTCATGACCGTGAAATATCGTAGTGTTTTATGTAGTTTATGTATTTAATTGTGTTCATTTTAATTTATTATAGAAGTTTATGTTTTGTGGGATTGTTTATAGACAGGAGGAACGTCCGTTTGATTCCCGGATAGTGTAAAATTTTATTATATATAAAAATGTTTGTTGCTAAGAGATGTTACTTTAAGTACATAACTTTCAAAATTAAATTAATCCTTACTTTAATTAGTATTTTAAAAACAAAAGCTAGTTATAAGAAATATGCAGTTAAAAAGTTGCATGCTGAAGCACATTTTAAATATGTACCTACTTTATTTTTTTGTTATTGTTATATCTACAAGTTCAACACGAAAAACACGATTATATATGGTTATTGTTATTTTACAAATAGTAGAGAGTCAGGAGGATGCTTTTATAATTTCTGTATGTATACTATATACATACAGGTGGTATGTGTAAATGCATTTACCAACATTAAAAAAAAGTCTGTTATTATTTTATTCATAACATAATATCACACATTTTATTTCTTTTTTACAATTTTTATTCTTCGTTACAAATAATTACTATTACAAATTACATAAAAAGAACAAAACAAATTCATATATTTATAGTTAATAGAAATAAATATTTAAATTTCAGGTGAGATCAATGTTCAGTAACGACACTGCAGACTTGATGCTACCAATTTTACTAGACACAGCCAATTTGATTCGTCGCTCAATGAGACCTGGGAAGGAACCCAGGGAAGTAAAACTACCACAAACACTGATGCAACGAAGATCCTTTACAGAAGACACTTTAGACGATGACATGTTTGATACTGGAACAAAAGAAAGCACAACAATACAGTCAATCATACAAAAATACCGCGACCTTAGAAACAGATCTCAAAGAGTACCATTCACTAAAATTAATTCCACCAAATTAAATGAAAACACTGTACAAGATAAAACAAATAACACACAAATAAATGAAAATTTAAAAGATACGTATAGCTTTGATGAGAATAATGTGAGTATTAAAGGGTTTAAAGTTAGATTTATATAGATGAGTGATAATGTACCGAGTCTATTACTGGGTTGTGGGTTGTAAGTTCGGTTCCCACGTGAAGCTAAACTTATTGACTATACATTTAGAGCATGTATGTAAACTTTCGATATTGTATGCAAAGTGTTATATCGCGAGCGAACTTTTACTGTTTCGAAAGAACAATTTAAATAATAAATGTTTTGAATTCTGAAATGTTTTAAAACCAAATTTCGGGAAGCTTTTATTATGACAGCTTGAATAATTTAGTATCTAAGTTATCTCTTTAACTTTTTATCTGTATCTTCGCCACTTATCGCTGAATTTTAAAATGAATTATCAATTCTATGAACATTTAAATTCATTACGTTTATGCATTTATGTATTTTTAAGGAGCAACGAAAACTAATGGGTATTTTGTGTAGCTTTTGTTGATTATATTAATATGAAATAACTGAATATATATTGTAATTATATATATTATTATTAAAAGAGAGGTTATAAAAAAAGGATTTTAAAGTTGATAAAATGCATAGAGAGATAGCATTATAAAGACACATACATATGTATGTGGTATATTGATAATACGTTTGGATCAGTTTGTAGTAAAACCCTACTCGATGTGCTAGCGGTCGCGGGTTCAAGTCCCGCTGGAGACATTTATTTTTGTAATGAGCAAGAATGTTTGTACTCCAGTCATGGTTGTTTATATTTATAATATGTATATATTTAAAGTTATATATGTGTAGTGTATCATCTATCTGGTATCCATAACACAAGCCTCGTAGCTTACCATTGAACTAGATGGTGCTGTGTGTTAATGTCCCAACATATTTATTATTTTATTATTATTATATTTTATCATAAAAAAAGAAACAGTGATAATATGTATACAAAAGAATTTATATTTATTTTTCAGAGAAACCTCACTAGATCGTCATATTTAACAACGGATTCAGCTAAATTGAAATATGAGAGCGTAAATCGTATACAAGATAACAGTACCTTAGATCTCGAAGTAGAAGCTACCAACGTGACGCTAGTCGAAGACATGCCAGTCGCTGAAAAGCTTCGCTCTCCCAACAGATATGTGGAAAGAAAAGGTAATAATGACGACACGTTTGGCTCAGTTTGTAGTATAGACTCTACTTGCTGTGATATCGGTCGCGGATTCAAGTCCCGCTGGGGGCATTCATTTGTGTGATGAGCACGAATTTTTGTACTCCAGTCATGGGTTGTTTAAATTTATAATATGTATGTATTTAAATAATACTTTCTTAGATTTACACGAATATTTGACATTTAGACATCTAACACCTCAGTCTCTCCCGTGACCATGATTGCAGTAAAGCATTCGAAACGTCGGGAACCAAAAATCAAAATAAATCCGCGAAATAGTCCCTAAAGATAGTTTTATTTAAAATGTATGTATTTAAAGTTATAAATGTGCAGTGTATCAACTATCTGGTATCTATAACACGAGCCTCGTAGCTTACCATATATGTAGATGGTGCTGTGTGTTAATGTCTCAACATATTATTAAATATCGGACTATTACTATGCAAAAGTCAGTACGTGTGTGTCTGCATGTTTGTTACTACTTCATGCTAAACGGCTAAACGGATTTGAATATAGTTTTGTACACAGATAACACCTGGAGTAACAGACCAATATAAGCCCATTACGAGCGAAGCAATGGTAAATCGCTAGTTCATAGTAATGTAATGGAGAGAAAATTTTAAATAATATTCTATTGTTCTACTGCGCTAATTAATTTTATTATTCTTTAATTTTCAGCATAATATAATATTTGCTAAGTAGATTTGCTTTTTACTTAATTATATTCTTTTTAACATAGGCACTTTTACTTGTACTGTTGTGCTTTGTTTTATTATCTGCACCTCTTCTTTTTTTGTGTTGTTTGGTGTGTGTCAGGGATGGTTTAAGTATAAAAAATAGGGAAAACCCCAAAAAGAAACAACTGGAAAATCGAAAAATACAGAAATGTTTATTTTCTACCATGTATATATATGTTACGGATGCCGATGGATTTGATATTACGTTATCGCGATTCTCGTCCGCCATGGTCAGTGTGCTCGTGCGGCACAGTCGAGTGTTCACAATAAAGTGAGTTCACTCGCACTACTGACTCACGTCATAAATTATTAGCTGTCAAACGCTATTGTCATGTACCGTCATTCAACTACCCTCAGAATCGTGTATAAAATATCAAACATGGCAACACAAGTATTTTTTTATTAATTATTCTCTAACACGGCCATACTGACAGGAGGCGCGCTCTCGCGGCTCCATACGTCTTTAGAACCTCAGCGTGAAGCGTCACGGTCTTCCAACGCTCTTAAAACATTAGCGTGAAGCGTTACAGCATTCCAACGCTCTCAAAACCCTGCGCGAAGCGTCACAGCGACGCATTAAAATGAAAATTTAACAAAAATATTTTACGAACAATATTATTGCATTGAATAAATAGATTTAAGAAACCACTAGCTATCTCATGGAACTCGATCGACCATTCTATTCTTTAGCTTCGCGACTACCTGTTAATTTACCCGTCGTATCAACATGTATAGTGTGAAAAGGTTCGGCAATCTTTTCTATTGAAAATTTTTATGCAATACATTATTCTTTATTGTGTAAGAAGACTTTAAGTTAGGGTCAATGGTATCGTTTTCGATCGATTCTATTATTTTACGAATGTCAGGGTCTAAATATTGCTCACCTATGTACGCGTGTCGATAAATCCCGCTTATGTCGAGATGCTTTAAGACTATTTTCAATAATCGAGTTTAATTGCTTTATATGTATAGAATCACTTTTATTTTCATTATTCGATTCAATGACAGAACAGACGGCTATATTACATTTATGAGATAGACGAACCCCCTCACTGTTCATAATTAATTCTAGACCGGGTATTTTAAAGATATCACGACCCAATATGACGTCGTACGGAATGGTGTCAGAGTCTTCAACGTGAATATCGCACAAATTAATAAAAACAGTTAGCTTAGTAAAAGAATATGACGGTTGCGAGCCTATACCGGTTAATTTCGTAAAGACAAATCACGTGTTCCTATCAAATGACGAGCTATGTTTTCACGTAATAATGAACACTCAGACCCACTATCAACTAAAGCATTTTATTACAATGATTACAGCGAATGATTTTATCTGACATTGACTGAGGTATTTTTGGCAAATTGTTATTATCTTTAATCGGATTTTGATTTATTTTGTTAGTGTTACAGTTACGCCTCAAATGACCATATTTACCACAATTATAGCATACGCGATCGTTAGAATTCATAGATTTATTACTCGTCATTTACTTTTCGACGTTTACATGTATTATCTACCCGCGACTCAAAAGATCGTTTTAAATTCTTAACGCGAGGGTAGGTACACAAATGCCTGTCAAGTGCAACAAAATCTAAAGGTGTATTTTTTAATAAATCTGAACGTACCTGAACATCACTTATACCGGATATAAGTACCTCGATTTTGTTTGCTTCACTCCATCGTCTCAAGGCGGTCGATCATAGCCAGCTTGTGAGTAGAGTACTCGATGTAAGTAGCAGCTTTCTCGCTTGTGAACTCCACCATGTCCCGGAACAGGTCGTGGAACCTCTTCGTTGACGCGAACTGTCGAGAGAGACGCTCCTTGACATCGTCCCAGGTCTTGCACACTTGATATGATTGTGATGCCCACTTCTTAGCTCGCCCGCGTAGATTGATGAAGGCAGCATTCTTTGTTTCATAATCCGTCCAGGTATTCTGTCTTCTATGATTATCGATTTCTTCACACCATTGTTGGGCTGTAAACTCGCTCTCGTCAGGATCGTACGGCGGAAGGAAGATCTCAGTGGGCTTCAATTTCTTCACTCGGGATGTAGATGGTTGAGCTTCTTTATGTTTAAAGTTGTTTAACATCGTTTGGAAGAATTCAGCCCACATGTTGGTATTTGAGGTTAACGGTTGATGAGTTGGCGGTTGAGGAACCTCAGTGTCTTGTCCATTGTAGGTATCACGGAAATACGGTCGGCCCTGAGTCCCTCCGAGGATGGGAGACCCATGATGAGAATCACAGGCGGATCCCACCGCTGCTGTTACGGATGCCGATGGATTTGATATTACGTTATCGCGATTCTCGTCCGCCATGGTCAGTGTGCTCGTGCGGCACAGTCGAGTGTTCACAATAAAGTGAGTTCACTCGCACTACTGACTCACGTCATAAATTATTAGCTGTCAAACGCTATTGTCATGTACCGTCATTCAACTACCCTCAGAATCGTGTATAAAATATCAAACATGGCAACACAAGTATTTTTTTATTAATTATTCTCTAACATATAATATATAGTATATCTATTCCATACTAACCTTTAAAACGTACCTAGCGATGTACCCGAGCGAAACGAGGGTAAGTCGCTAGTATTACATATTTATATATAACTTATTGTTGAATAAATTTAAATGGTAGGTAGGTATGTGGGAAGAATTATAGTTTTCAAAACATACTAAACATACCTAAAACTATTGATAAAATTGCTATCGTATCTTATAAGATGTAGTAAATTGTTAGACATTACAGGAAACTTCATTCGTAGAGGTACATTTCCGAAGCCATCACCTCCGTCTCGTAGGACCACGCCCGAGCCAACTCTTGGACTGATCAGACGACGACCAACCCCAGCTAGAATATTGGCAGTCAATGAACAAGCCAAATGCGAGTTATTTACGAATAGCCTGTGTTTGCATTCTGATGATTACCCAACGTAAGTTGTACTTTTAATTTTTGAAGCACTAGAATAGATTGCATAAGTATGCATTAATACTTTTTTTACTAAATTTACTAAATATTGGTTGGGAGCGGGACTCGAACCCGTGATCTCCAATGTAAAGGCTACAAACGGTTGGTTATTTATGTTTTGATTTTCTTTTAGAAAATCTTTATTTATTTCATTATCTCTTAACTTTTTCATGAAGACTATATTTTAATAATGAAGTCAACAATAAAGTTTTCACTGAGTAAGTTTAGTATTGAAAATCATGTGGCACATTGTACGAGTATCTAAACCGCTGCGCTGGTCAGTAAATAATTGAAAAAAACACACATCACTACTTTGTTAAGATTTAATTTTCCTCTAACTAAGCTAAAAACGTTATAATTTATTTAATTAATAAAATTAGAGAGCCGTAGCAAAACGTTTAAAAAGAAATAAATTAAGAAAAAGTAAAATAGTAAACCATATGTAAACAACTAAATGTAAGATATTCGATGGAGGTCAACGGATTACGAAGTGGGTTGAACGAAAGCAAGAGTAAATAAAAGGTAAAAGAAGTGTGTAACAGTCAAAAGCGAAAGTGATATGTCGCAAGCTTAGTAAAAAGAAAATTGAGTGAATTAGCATCGTTTACCGCATTTTTTGCTCTTAAGAACATCCATCATAACATTTTCTTTCTATTGGACTACATAAATATAGATTATACATATAATCTTCCGTAAAATTGTATTTAGATCCTTATCCATACTAATATTATAAATGTGAAAGTGTGTTTGTTTGTTCGTTCGTCCTTTATACACGTCGAAACTGATGGATTGGCGTAAAAACATCTAAAGTTTTACTGAAAGAATTCCAAAAAGTAAAGGTGTAAAACTATGTGTATTTTGGGGTTATATAAACTTAAATCTGGATGTTACTCTGTGGTGATAAGTGCCTCCTTCCTACCAGTAGTATAATAAATAATATGTAATCCTAACATTAATAAAGTAGTCTTACGTCGACATTCAAGCATTTCATTAAACTCGTCCTTACAACTCATCCTAATCTGGATTTTACAGCGTGACATGCTCACGCATTCGTGTTATTAATTATTCTAATATCACTTAATAACGTTTTCAGAGATGCAATAGTCCAATCAATAAGACGTAACAAGGCAGCAGCCGGAGCTCTTTTAGCTGATTTTAAGGAACCTGGAGAAGGATCAATTGATGGTATCACTGCGGCTCAAGAGGAGAAGTACACCGCCGAACATTATTTAATATCTAACAGGTATTTAAATATCATATTCGAAGGAAGATAAGACTGAAGTATTATACTGAATTCAATTGATTTTAAATAAATAAATAAATAAATAATAAATAAATGTTGGGATATTAACACACAGCACAATCTAGTTCCATGGTAAGCTACGAGGCTTGTGTTATGGATACCAGATAGTTCCCGGGGGAGAAGCCAACTCCTACCGGGCGCGTCCCCAGGTGGCGGATAGGGGCATGCCACCCGCTTAGAGGGGCGGGTGGTACCGGAGAAATCCGGCGCGGACCAAATGGCTTGGATGGGGCCGCTCGTCTAGGCCTCGAGCCGAAGACGTTGCGGCCACCGGTGGTGGGACCGCTTGGTCCCACAACCGGATGATGGGTGCCGATTGCGGGACTGTGGTCGCAGGCCCGCATTCGGCGGAGGGGTAGGCCGCGGCGGGAGAGGAGTGCCGGTATTTCGGTGCGCCGTTCTCCCTACCTTCCGCGGCCTAGACGGGGCCGCCACCGTTTGATGGCGGACGCGGTGGGGCTGCAGGGGAAGAGGAGTGTCGGTGTTTCGTTGCCGCTCTCCCTGTCCTCTGCAGCCGATTGGAGGTGGCCCACTTCAGTGGGCGGTGTTTGTGTGGTGTGGGGCTGCTCCGGGTACTTCTCTGATCAGCAGAGTGGACTTAGGAGCGGCCTCACTTTTTGGGTTGTAAGTCTTCCTATAATGGGGTTGTCCCGCTTGGGGCGGCCTCATGGTTGGTGGCTTCGGCCAACCGTCGGGGCGTCGCGGTTGTATGCGAGAGCGATCCCGTGGCGCCCCACATGGCGGCAGAGGGGGAAAGTTGGGTTTTAGTGGGTATGCCGGTCTCATTAGCCGGAGAGTCTCCACATAACCACCCCGGGGGAAGTCGGGTGGTATCCGTAATAGGATTTCCCAACTATAAAAAAAAAAAAAAAAAAAATGGATACCAGATAGTTACACTACATATATATAACTTTAAATACATACATATTATAAATATAAACACCCATGACTAGAGAACAAACATCCGTGCTCATCACACAAATGAATGCCCCCGGCGGGACTCGAACCCGCGACCGCTGGAACAGCAAGTAGGGTCACTACCAACTGAGCCAAACGTGTCGTCGTGATTATTGATACCTATTTTCTTGTGGATTTTGTTCTTGTACATTGACATAATTTTAACATAATAAGTTTTTACCGACATAATTTGTTGATTGTTATAAAGGCTACTTTAATCCTGGCATATTGAGGAGTTTTTGTAAAAAATTGGACTGTTTCTAACTTTATCTGACTCCGATACAGTTAGTTATGGTCAATATTGCTCTAACTTGCTTAATATTTATTAACGATCAGTTTTTGTCTGCAATTTTTCCTTGTAAACGGATACGTTTTCAAATATCCATGTGTACCACCTTCGTGTATTTTCATGATGACCATATGAACGACGTGGAAGTTAATAACCTCTAGTGCCCTCTAATGGCTAGTTACAGAAAAATGGATAGCATAAAAATCTTCTCCTATAAGGACGCCTACATATGTTTATCAATTTCAAAATAATTGGAAGAACTATGAGATTTAAGGTCTTGCACAAATTAACATTTAAATTTTATTGATAAAGAAATTTTTTACTTATTCATTTAAAAGATCGTCATAATTTTTATCTACTAAATATGCATCTTAATTTCACCCACTGACTGATTTCCAAAAAAAAAAATTAATTAGAGTAAATTTCTATCGCAGTTAGTAGGTTTTAAACTTAGCAATATGGTAATTAATGTTAATCCTAAGAAATGTGCAATTACTATACATACGAGTAATTTAATAGAAGCAGCGTCTTAAAGTGCTTGTCACTTTTATTATATAAATACAAATTTATTTTAGAAACCAGCCGCGATTCTTATTATTTTTTGCCAATACGACAACAGAGTATGTCTCAAAGAATTAAGAAATTATTTGGTCTACTTGCTATTTGTATTACTATTATTATTATATAAGTATTGTGAAGTGATGACTGATTGATGTAGTAGCAATATACTTCGTATTTAGTAACGGTTTCGATTTTGTGGAACAGATATCTGCAACATTGTATTAAGTCCTTTCGTTATATATAATCTCTTAAATAAAAAAGTATTTATGCTATAGAGAAAGAGACTAAATATCAGCTAATAAACGAACGCAGCCCGGGTGCATCACTAGTTATATGTGAAATGAGAGTTTTATTTCTCCGCTGTAAATGCTCAATGGATTGAAGTGACGTACTCGTAAGACGTATTTATGTCCTGGATAATAATGCGTGAGCCATAGCGATATTTTATATTACATGAGCTACTCACCCTTGCTTTGCTCGGATGCGTCCTTAGATACAAAATTGTTCACAATTTCATAGGTTTTAAATTTTTTAGCGAAACCCTAATTTTTTTCTAAAATAAAAGTAACCTAAGTTATTTTTATAAAACCAGTCCAGTATAAGTCCCGTCAAAATCAGTCCAGCCGTTTCGGAGATTAGCCGAGACAAACACACACAGACAAAAAAATTCAAAATTGTTTTTTTCTTATAGATACCGTGTATACTTTCATAAGCATTTAATAAAAAGCTGTTATTTTAACATTACAAACAGACACTTCAATTTTATTTATTTGTATACATAAATATAATTTACCGTTTAAGCTTATTTTTTGAAATTATAATAAAATTACATTTGTTATTCAATCTATCCAGACGTGGGGATACATCAAATAGAGACTTCGCGAGCGCAGGCGAGGCGGGCTTCATGTGCCCCAGCACGGTGAAGTACGCGCGGCCCCAGCGTGCTCGCGCCACCTCGGGGCAATGGAAGTATATTGTGAATACCGGCGAGCACACGCAGACATTGAGACTGGAGAAATGTCTGTTAGTTTGTTTGTATATTTATTTATATGTATTCATCCCTTTTCAACGTCCCACTGCTGGGCACGGGTCGTCCTCAATTTGAGGGGGATCAGTCCATAGGCTATTTATCTATATGTAGAGTTTTTGTTGTATACAATATATGTACATGTAGCTAAGTGACTCATCCGGTTGAGACGTAGCAACCGTTTGTAAAAGGAAAATAAGGAAAATTTTGAAAATAATAGAAATTTTATTCGAAGGACATAAGAAAAAGAAATGAATAAATGTGAACCATAGATTTGAAATCACAAAATTTACTGATATTTATTTATTTATTTAGGTTCACCAACAATTGTTTACACGTTGTTTGTTGTTGTTTATATAATAATCAGTCAGATATGTTAAAATATACTAAGTTAATATAGCAAGATCTTTAAGTGAATGCTTTGTTTTAACGAAAATGATTTTTTATATTATTAAATACTTCATTATTTATTTCAGGAAACCAAAAGAATCGTGCACGTACTTAACAGAAAATTTCAAATCGAAATGCGTCCAGGTGTATAATTACCATAGGCTTCTTACTTGGGATCAACAGAACGGGCTACACATGGATATATTTAAAGTAAGTTATTAATTAGGATTCATTTCTTTGTTAAATTATTTGAGTATTAAATACTATACAGTATATTTCATTAGCATTATTTACTTTAAAGTTCTGAACATAACTATAATTTCAAACTATTTCTAATTCCATACTTTCTAAATGTTTGAGTAATATATTTTTATCACAGGTAAGGTCTCCCATGGAATATTATAAAGCTTACACTACTCATCCCTCGAAGTTTTGAAATTGATTAAAATAAATTAGATCACTAATTTTAAAATAATAAATAAAATAAATAAATATGCTGAGACATTAACACGTAGCACTATCTGGTTCCATGGTAAGCTACGAGGCTTGTGTTATGGATACCAGGTAACTAATACACTCCCCCCAACGTGCGTTTACCTTGTCATGGTGGGGGTGTCAGTAGTGCCCGGCAATACAGCCGGGCGCGAAGCCAAGAAACGCACAGGGAGGTGACCCACTTCGGTGAGAGGTGGCCCTCTTCGGAGGGTGGTGTACCATGCGGGTTGCTCCTGGTACTTCTCTGATAGCAGAGTGGACCTTGGAGCAACCCCATGGTTGTTGTGGTCTGCTTCGGCAGACCTGCCGTCGGGGCGTCGTAGTTGAATGCTGAAGTGATCCTGCGACGCCCCATTAAGACGGGGGAAGGTTTTGTTGAGTTTTAGTGGGTAATACTGGCTTTGCCGGTGAGTCCCACACCTCGTGCGTAAATGCATTTCCCAACGTTAAAAAAAAGGTAGTTAATACACTACACACACATAACTTTAAATTCATACATATTATATATATACATATTATACATACATATTATATATATATATATGTATAAGATTTGATGAAATTAGTACGTAATTTAAAATTTCACTTACTTTCATTTAACCCATTTCTTTCTCATCTTCAGGTACCGACGTGCTGCTCCTGCCATATAGAAGGTTACAGTGTATCATTCCCGCCTCTAGGCCACAGAGTACACGAAACATCATCAGAACATTTTCCAGGAGAAGATTTGTCTTCTGAGCATGGAAATCAAGCATTTGAATCAGTCCAGTCGAGTATCCAGAGACCAAATATAAAAACCCCACCATTTATGAGTAAGCCTCCAGAATTTCCATTTAATGATAATTCTATACCTGACTTTAGTAAAGCAAAAATTAGTGACGAAGAATACAACAATCTGCCTCCAGTAGATTCTTACGGAAATACATATTTCCCAGATTCATTCAATCAGGCAAGTTCGATAAGAAATATTAAAAGACCACATAGAAATCCCATAGGCCTTTCAATTGATTCGGTTACTTTACCAAGTTATCTGGAGCCACCAACTCCATCACCGTCGTTTCCACCCAAAGATAATATAAAATATAAAATTGAACAATATAAAAGACGTCCAAGCAGACGACCAATACGTAAGAAGATATCTAGTAGTCCCGAAGATTTACTATCATCGGGTTCATCCTCCATTGGAGCAATTCTTAACGATAATATGGATGAAGATTTTGAAGAAGAAGTAGAAGAATCTGAAATAAAAATAAATAAATTTAATCCAAGAGCAACTATAGCTCCTAAGCTACACGCAGTAACAGATAAAGTTTTAGAGCAAAGTAAAGTAAAAGATGATTCAATAAAGAAAATTAATTACAATTACCATCCAATAATCGATTTCTTTGATGGCGATAGAAGCGATTCAATTGATAGAGAAGATATTGATGAAACTTATGTTTCATCTGATTCTGACTGGAAGCCAATAAATCCTTCAGACAAAAACACAAATTCTTTAACACGAAAGAAACATAAATAGTATATTTTTTTAGATTTACTTTGAGTATTTTAGCAGTAATTCTACAATGTATTATAAGATTGCAGGTAGCGTGAATTTAAAGATTTGTATAGATAACATCTAGCTTATAAAGTATTCGCATTAATTTTCTGTATATGTGATCTTGTTAAATATCCCAATAAAGTAACTTTTCAAAACAAAAAAATATATAATAAAAATACTTGGAAAAATTTATAATTATTATAAACATAATGCTATGTTAAAAGTGAATTATTACTAACCTATGCAACTTTTTATGAGTATATTGAGCTTTGTGAGAAAAGCCTGACTGTAATATATAATTTATAAATAAAAATATAATTTTAAGGTAAAGGCAATTATAACAAAAACGAAGCCAAATAGTATTTGCAATGTAAATTATTAAAATTAATATTTTATTTATTCTAGTGTAAGTTTAAATTGTGTATTTATAAAATTGGACATTAGTTTAGGAGAAACACTTGCCAATTAAATATATTTTTTATGTAATAAAATTATTTTATTTATTTAGTTAAATTAAAACTTTTTCAATCAGGTTTTTAATTTGATTATAACTTTGACAACACAATCCGTCGAATATGCTTAACACTTTTCTGCTTATTAAAATCGAACGGAATTCTGGATACTTATCATATACTCGTATACTTATACATTTTTTTTAAACTTTACTTTGCCATATCACGTAATTTCACTGACAGTAAAAGCTATCGTTTATAATTATCAAATAATGGTACTTATTAGATTTTTGACAGAAATTAATCATTATAGTGATACTAACGACTCACCCTCGCTACGCTCGAGTTCGCCTATAGTTACTTAAGAAATGGGGGGATGGGGGTGGTGGGTATAGGAGGGTGAAAAATACTATTTTCATATAGATATAAAATATAAAAAAACATTAAAATCGATCGTGCCGTTTCGGAAGAGTGCGACCACAAACACCGACACACGAGATACTTATATATTAGATAACGTGATAGTGGAGTCAAAATGGTCCTAGTCACGATACCAGGTATATCATAAATAAATCAATAACTATAGACCTTTTAAGTCTTAAGTATTTTATACCATTTTATTCTTTAACTTTTACAATAAGTGATGAAAGAAAAAAGTAATTTTAGAGAAATATTGCGATTTGTATTTGACGTGTGTTTTCAGTAAAAAGTTTTTTAATTAGAGGGGTACAACATTTTTCATTGTATCTTTAAGCCATATCATGTAGTACAAACTTTATTTGTGCTTGCGTAATGTTTTATTTAACCTAACAAAAAGAAATTATTGTCGAACGATTCACACTCGCACTTATTTAGTTTTTCCCCAAAAGTTTGAATTATTATGAAACAAAATGTTAATTTATTCTAGATTTATTATAATTAACATATAAAACAGTCCGTATCACGCGCGCATACATAAATAATCATGAGTAAAAAAAAACAATAAATAATTTATCGACCAATACATTTTGGTAGGCGATAAAAGTGAAAGTAGTATAGGTGAACGACTTAGTAAATTGAATGGAGCAATTTGTTTGTATTGACTCACTTTGAACGTAAACTATCACTGAATGTTGAAACCTCGAGAACTATTAAATAAACAAAATAACGTCAGATTGTCTGTGTGCTATAAAGCTGTAAATGAATTTTAAAATCGTTTTCTGATACTTGTTTTGTATAATACAAGAAACTCCTCAGTTAATTCGTAAAGTGTTATAAAATTCTTAAATAATAATGTACTCACGCATATGTTAATAGTTTATCGAATTACATTACAAATTCACAATTTTCATTTTTTTTACTTAGAATTAAGCATCTCAGATAATGTAAAACTACAAATATAAAAAGAAATCAAATCAAATTTCTTCTTAATGGTATTTCCATGGGATAAAAATAAATATTTTAAGCTATTCCCATGATTTTGCATTTATGTAAAATAAATTTAATGTTAAATCGGTTAAATTGTTATATGTAATATACGTAATATTCTACACATTCGCTCTGACCATATCGATATATTTAATCTAGGTTATTAAAGTTTAAGGTAAACGCTGTTACATAAATGTTTTAAATTAGGGCTGTGATTTTAAGATTGTGCGTAAAATTATTTTAAATTGTGATATTTTGCGTTATAATATGACTATATTTATTGAACATTATGCAGATATGTTTATTTTTGGTAAGTTACAATATGGGCTAGAAATAAAGACTTAGAATGAATTCTTCAATAATATTTATTAAATTCAACAGCATAAATATGAAATCATATAAAATATACAAATTCTAACAACATTATCACAGAACCTTAAAATATTTTTTTTATATTATAGAGTAACTAACCTCTCAAATATAAGACACTTTCACAATTAATGTCACGAAAGTGATACGAAGTCAATTTTGTGGCACTTTCTACTTAAGATTATATTTATGAATAATTATATTACAAATTAGGCATCTACATAATAATACATGCGTTTGCTGGGATCTAGTATAAAAGTTGGGGGAGTGGTTAAGACAGGACCAGCTCGAGCAAAACTATCCAAAATAACTGCTGCGTTTGTTCGAGGGTCTCTGGATCTACCTCTGCTTCTAATACGTCTGTCTTGGATTTCATCTTTTTGAACGATTTTTGCACTTCTATAATTGCCACCATGCATTTGTCGGCCCGTATTCCTTGTTTCATGTGATTTAAAATTTCCGCCGTGCATCTTTGTAGATTCGTTGTCATGGTCTTCATCTAGTTCAATATATTTGCCATTTCTCTCGTTTTGTCTTAATCGCTTGTTTCTAGAAGATTTCAAATTTCCACGATGAATCGACTTAGGGATGGTTTCTACGTCCTTTAATTTTGTAAATCTAACATTTTTAGTATCATCATTTTGTACTGCATCTAATTCTATTGATTTCCTCGTTTCAGTTTGAGAAGTCTCTACGTCTCCTTTACTAAGCTCTCGTGATTTTGTAAGATTTTCTTTTGCAAGTTCTTCTGGAGTAATACTTCTATAATTACCTCCGTGTTTAGGTCCAGAATTAAGTTTTAAGTTTTCTTTAAATATTTCTACGCTGCCTAAATTATTAATATCTTCAATTAAATTTTCATCCTTGAATAAATCTAACGTTTCTGTGTTCTTATTAGGTTTCTTTCTGGATTTTGATGGCATCTTTTTAATAATCTCTATTTCCTTTATATCCTGTTTAAATTGGGTAAAATTTGGAGAGGATTTGTTAGATGGTAGTTCGTTATGTATTTCAATTTTTCTTTTTAATGTAACAGGTTGCAATTCACTTCTAGTATTATGTGATACCGTAGTAGTAGCAGGGGCAATTGTTGTCTTTGCTAGAGTTCTTTTAGTTGGCTCTGAAGTTGTAACCTGAATCGGAAGGTTTGATTTGTTTTTATCATTCTTTTCATGATCGTTTTTCTCGCCGTTGTTATCATGGTTATCATTATCTTTGTCACGATGATTATCATCATCGCTATTTTTATCATGATCATTATCATCTTTATGATTATCATCGTCATCATCATCGTCATCATCATCATCGTCGTCGTCGTCGTCGTCCTCATCATCATCATCATCATCGTCGTCATCATCTTCATCACTATTAATATTTTCTTTGTTTTTATTTTTATCATGTTGATTATTTTCTTTTTCATACATTGGTGTATATTCATCCATATTGTGTTTTACACCAATTAAAGCGTCGACCTCTTTTCTCATCATATCGTCATCGTCTTCTCCATACATTTTTGAGTCAGTAACTAAAGTGCTTTTTGTTGATTTTCTTTTCTTTTCCGTATATTTCGAAGAATTTTCTTCAGTTGGTTTTTCATGAACTTCTTGATGTAAATGAATTTTTCCACTAGGTTGAGAGTTACGAAAACGAGTAGAAATACGTAATTTAGGTGGCTGAGTAATGTTTTCATTTAAAATTGGTTTTACAGTGGTTGTAGTACCTCTAGTTCTTTTTCTTAAAGCTGGTTTTTGTGTGGTTGACGTCGTTGTCGATGTTGTTGCTATAATTTTATCTTTATGATCGTCATTATTACCATCGTCTTTATGATCATTATTATTACCATCGTCTTTATGATCATCATTATTACCATCTTCTTCATTATTATCGCCATCATCATCGTCGTCATCATCGTCGTCATCATCGTCATCATCATCATCGTCATCATCGTCGTCGTCATCATCATCATCGTCGTCGTCATCGTTGTTATCATCTTTATTGGGATTTTCTTTTTCTTTTTTAGTGCTCTCATTAGATTCTTGTTTTTCTTTTTTTTCTATTATGGGTTCTAAAGTAGTTGATCGAATAACTTTCCCGACAGCTGTAGACGCAGCAATATTTTGTGTTTCAATAGTTTGAGGTAAATATTTGGAAACATCGAAAAAAGGTTTTACAGTTGATTGCGGAAATTTAGATCGCTTAAGATGAGATTGCTTAAATTCTTTAAACTTTGACTTATTTTTGGTATTAGTATTATTTCCTGATTGCACTGTATAATCAAAAGAAGAAATATGTCGTTTATTTTCTACAGGTATATAAGTAGATTTATGATTTGTCGATCGTAATTCATATCGAGGCTCACCACGTCTTTGATCTGAACTTACATCTACGAAGCTTTGATTATTAGAGTTATTGCTATCATCATCGGACTTTTTGATTCTGTCAATTTTTCCAATATCCTTATACATTTTTGTACTTCTTTTAATAGATTGCTCTTTATCTGCTGTAACTTTATCGATAACTCTGCTTGATTGAAGTTGTTTAATCAAAGGACTAATATTACTTGTAGTGGTAGTCTTTCTAGAATCTTGAACTTGACTATCCCTGATAATTTTATAGGGTTCGTACATAAATGGTGCTGCTCTTTTTCGTCTCATAACATGGGGAGACTTTGTAATATCTTCTTGATTTTTAAAGTGCCTGTAAGTTTTGCTGGTCGTCTCATCTATTTTACTTACGTTTTGTTGATTAACATTAATTTTACCTAATTTATTATCAGAAAGATCTGAACGAGTAGTTGGCAAAGGATTTTTCTCATTTTTCTTATTCTCCAGTACTAAAGACATATTATTGTCATAATTTAAACGTTTATCACGATCATTATTGTGTAATGTATAGGCCTCAAGAACTTTTACATTCGGTTTCGTGATAGGTTCTGGACTTTCAATAATTTCTTCCTTAAAAAATGGATTATCAAGGGGATTTTCACCAAAATATTTTACTTTGAAACAATCAATTTTATTGCCCAGACCTTGTAGACGTTGCTTGTTTTGAAAATGTTTAAATTCATCATTTTTATCTGTGTTATCAGTATTTTCTTCACTATCATCTGAGCGTTCATCTTTTTTTAATTTCTCTGGTACAGGATCTATATCATCTTCTACTTCAGGACATTCAAATTTAGAACGTGAATCGTAAAATTCAGTACCTCCATTAGATTTTTTTGGTCTCAGTGAAAAATTTTCTGCATATCGAAGTGGAGAATTTTTATTGATAGTATTATTTTTTCTTGAATAATATGGATATTTTATGTTTTGATTGCTGTTTTGTATTTTTAATTTTTGGGTTTTATTCTTTGTTTTTGAGAGTTTTAATATTTCTTCTTTCGATGGCAAAGTTGAATTGAAATCAAACTTTGGAACTTCAAATGAAGTTTCTCGCTTTGCTACATCATGCAACGTAAAGTTATTAAAGTGTGTATTTGGTTTCCCTTGCCGTTTTTTTTTTACAATATAAGAATTATCATTTTTAGAATTTATGTTACCTTCCGTTTCAGATAGTTTACTATTGCGTTTGTTTCTTTCGGTATCATTATTAAAATTTGCCTCAGTTATAGCATCGGCATCTAGGGTGTATTCAGCTTCACTTTCAGTGTAGTCATTTGTTTCATCTTCTTCCTCATTTTCTTGTTTACTGTCATTCCATTTTTCTCCGTGCAATGTTTGATCTCTGTAAGCAGAACCCTTAGCATCTTCATAATTACTACTAGCTGATGGAGTTTTATATTTACCTCCACTCACTTCCTTTTCTTTCAGGTAACCACCATGTCCTTCGTGATCAGATGCATGCTTTTGTTCACCAGCATGATCATATGCTGCATCTTCGTAACCTTCCTCAGAATAAACTATTTGTGCTTTAGTACTTTTAATAGCTTCCCGAAGGCGGGGTGCGTTCTGAATTTCTTCAAAGTTTTCAGCGTCATGCAAAGCTGCTATCTTAGGAAGATGTTTAGTTGTTTCGTATTTTCGTACTTGAGCATAGTTCTTAATAGGTACAAATATTTCTTCATTTTCATTATCACTGGCGTCATCGGAACCTTCATTTTGGAGTTCTAGACTACCCTCAGTATTTGGCCTATTTTTTTGTGCAATTTTATTTAATGATTCATCTAAATTATTTCTCAATTGAACATATTTAGCCTTTCCTTTTTCGTATATGTCATAACCATCGGGTTGTTCAGCGTAATTTTCTGGTGGAGATAATTGAGGATACTCATTGCGATCGTCATCAAATTTAAGGGCATGGTGATGCCTTAAATTATATAAATGATTTTTCACTGGGCGATAATGCATAGGAGTAACCTTTATATTTTGATTCCATGGGTGTCTCAATCTGTGGTTCAAAATTTGTTCTTTGTGATTTGATCTTGGCGGAACACGGTAATACACAGGGCGACGTTGAGGTCTGTGAATTTCAAATTGTGTTGGCACGTTTTTTTGAGGATATTTTTTACGATCTGTTTGCTCTGGGCTCTCTAAATATTCATCTTTCGTTACATCTGATTTTCCCGCTTCATTTTCATATTTTTGTAACCTATTTTTGCTGTCACGCAAATCATTTCTTATTTTATTTAAGATAGGGTCTTTATATATTTGTTGCAAAGCGGGTTCCTCTGCTTTGTACGGATGATAAACTTCATAAGATGTCGATACAGGCTTAGCATAACTCAATCCAGTATTCTGAACAAACTGTTGATAAGGTTGATATGTTTCTTGGTCAGAATTTAATAAATGATGATGTCCTAGTTCTGGTTTTTTTAATTCAGTGTGAGGTTTAACTGGATGTGATTTAAAATATTTTTCTGGTGACTGTACACCATGGGTGGCGGCAATGTCAATGGCGAACTGTGGTTTTTTCGCTGTATATTGAAAGTATTCATTATATATCGGTTTTTCAGATGTACGAGTATCTGAATTTTGCGCGTCCACAAACTGTTGATTATTCACTTCACTTTCATCGTTCCAGTCTATGGGCACTCGGATAGATTGGCAGAGAGTAAATTGAACTATAAAAAGCACTATTGATTTCCACATTGTTAACATTTACATGATCGCGGCTCGGCGGTCAACTGACCGGGGCGGAGGATAGAACAGCGTATTTATCTCCTCGGTCGAGCGTTCCCGTCCGATTGCTTGTGACCGTGCGCTTTGTTTAAGTGTATGGTCTAAGATGCATACTTAAGCATAAATAATAATTACTGTCAAGTAATCATTAATTAATGATTATTTGAATTAGTATAAGAGCTGACAAAATAAGTACAATAAAATATATTTTAGTATGTTTTACCTAAGAAATTGTATAATTATTGCGTCATTTATTAGTTACTATTTAATTAATTAATTTTCTTTTGATCTAACATTTTGTTCATGTAGTATTTTTGCATAATTAAATAGTATCACTGTCTCATTTACAGCGAAATTGGCAATAATATCGGCAACATAGGAGAATAATAATATATTATTTAATTATACTAATATAATACTTGTATAAGATTTATAAAATTATTAAGTTATTAACACTTATATGTATGATAGCTAGTGATTATTATATCGTTTATAACTTGTTCCAAGTACTCAATGTTAAGTGAAATTGAGATAAAAAACAGTATAGAAGTCTGATGATTAACAAAACAGATAGCTTGCCTAGGATACAAAGGCAGCCGGATATCGAAGCGTGAAAGCAAGTACGTGAACTTACTATAAGTTCTTAGAATATTTTTGCCAGTGTCACACTTACATAAAATTTATTTAGAATCAGGTTTAAATTGCATCGGATACTTTCAGGTTGAAGGAAAAAGATATCAAGCTCGTGATAATGTTTTAACATTAAAAATATAATTTTATTGCATTTTTAAAATAATAATTGAAATTCGATAAAATTTTGATATTACGATAATTTAATAATCAATTAATTATCCGTCTTAATTGAAGTAAATTCTTCTTAGTAATATTCTTACTTCGGCCGATCAGTTCTCATTACTTAGTTTGTAATTTATTTATTTGTAAAAAGCACACTTACAACATACATATGAAACAGTTTTCAATTAATTAATGTAATAATAATATACCTTATATGTATGTCAATTATAAGTGTACATAGCATTTAAATATTCATGTATTAAAGGTACAAAAATTAAAAAAAAAATGAAATAATTGAAAGTCTCCTCTTAATAAATAGCTTCTTTCTTCCCACAAATTGATTGACAAAACATCTTCACATTTTTGCTATATTCTAAACTTCTTTGGATAAAACTAACGAACTGAAAAATATAAATAAAATAAAAAATTGTGGTACAGTCAGAAACTTCATTACGACGTAACCGATTTACAAATAATATGAAAATGTCGTCATATTTTCGATTTGTTCATAAAATAATTTAAAAACTGACTTACTTTACAATTTAATATGCTTCTTAAGAATTTAGCAAAGCTAAACGAGTATTTTTGAAAGTATGCCCTAAAAGCACAGTTGCTAACATCGTTTAAGGTAAGCTCGTTTATTCATATTGGTATGAAATATGTATATAGAAGTTAAAAGCAAACTGTTTTGCAGGTGTATGGTTGTGTAAAGCGAAAAATATATTACTTTCAATTAACATTTTGGACGATAATATTTTTATTTCTCTATATAAGTTATTTACATTGTAGATTACTAAATGAACTAGCATATTAATTGGATAGACTTATAAAGTTTTAATTCATTAACCAAGCATTCCTTTTATAAGCTTTTATTTAGTTTCACCTATCCCGGGGTCTGTCTATCTGTAATCCAATCTTGAAAGTTAAATTTGACCCACTTCCCGGTTTCCGATTAAGCGGAAATTTTAAATCATTATAATATGTATAAGTCAGGTAAGTTAACGTATTTTTTTTTCAGTACATCCATACTAACATATAAAACTGAAGAATTTGTTCGTTTGGCTATTTGTGCGTGCTAATATCTAGTTCTACTGGTCCAATTTGAAGGATTCTTTTTGCGTTTTATAGCCTATATTCTGAGAAATGTTATAAATTCTTACATCACACTACGATCTATATACGATTTTGGAGTAATTTTACAAAATTTAACGACATGATTTTTATTTTTATTTTTTTTATAATTTTGGTATTTTAAACATGGAAATATGCATGTCTAAAGAAGCATTTTTATTTATCGGTAGTACCGTATCTGTAGTCAATTTAATTTAATTCAAATCAATCAATGAAGAATATCTTCATTAATTACTACCCATCTTCTTTTCATACAAAGGTAGATCCTACTTATGATTCTTATAAATCATTTGCACAAATAAACAATGTCATTAAGGCATATTACCTTTAAATCACGATTATAATTATTTGTAACTTAAATCAACGTAATATTAAACAACTGCTTGCATAAATGATTTGAAAAAAGTTCCTCTACAATTAATAGTATGACCTTTATTATTATATAGCAAGTATGTGTAAGGCCTAATGTGAAACCAAAAAGCTTAACAGGTTTGACGCAACAGTTCAGTAACTTTGCTCAACCGAGGGTTGTTTATGTAACTGCAGGTACTTACAAATCGAACAATTGATCTGATTGACGTAACTCCATTACTGGTTTGAGTGTCGGCTTGTAAGTACATTTTTATTTTGAATAAATGCAAAATAAAAGTTCTTAACGCTCAACATAATATCTGTAAGGACTGGCTTTAGTTAGTCAAAGGAGGAAAGCATTTATGTGGAATATTTGTATATACACGAATATATAATATGTATTATGTACCTTTGTATTTATTAAAATTTGGGTGAAGGTACAAAATTAGATGGCATAACGATACTGTCGTTAAAATAATATGACCTTAATAAACCACATGCATATTTTTTGGACTCTTTACTATTCATCCTTACTTTGAAAATAAATTTACAATAAAGCAACTTCTTTTATTGCACATCACATTGATCGCACATAATCAAGTATAAGAAAGGCAGTGGTAGCCCAGTGGTAACGCGCTCGCTTGGGAAACTGAGTGAAGCGGGTTCAAATCCCGGGTCTTACACCTCTGATATTTTCATGTGCGAATCATTTCTAACATGATTACCACTTACCTTACGTTAAAGGAAAACATTGTGAGGAAACCTGCATGCCTGAGAGAACCTAGCAAGTTTTCGAAAGGCATGTGAAGTTGTGGACTATAGCCTGATCCCCCCCGTATTGAAGGGAGGCCCGTGCCCAGCAGTGGGACGTTAAAAAAAGTTAAAAAGGGCTGAATACAATCAAGTACAGGTATGTATTTATGAGAAATAATAAAAATAAAACTTGATATAAAGAAAAGATAAAGAAACTTAATTGTTTTACTATTCATGTCACGCTTAAGAATTCTATCTAACTATTTTTATAGTTGCGATAACATTTCTCGAATGTTCTAAAAGGTTCTATGTATAAGAATCAATGAAGTACCTTTCATAAGATGGAAGGTTTTAAGGTTTAGCAATGTGGAACTAGTTCGCCGATTTCGAAATCCTAATGAAGTCGCTGGCCACGGTTGGTATTAATATAATTTAAATTACATAAACGATTGTTAAAGATATTTGAAAAATAGTATTTACATCAAAATTAATATTTCAAACCAGCGACCCACTCCCGCTTCTCTTCGAGTTCGTCCCTAGACAGAAACAAATCTATCCCACGGGTATTGCACATTTTTTCGGGATAAAAAGTAACCTATTTACTATTCCAAACTATAATAATCTATCTTTGTGCCAAATTTGATCCAGATTCGTTTAGCCACTCTGGCGTGAAAGAGTAAAAAACATCCATGCACCCTTACATTTTCATTTTATAACATTAGTATAGATATAGTTTTTACTATGTTACTTTTTGCAATTACTTTTCCTTGAAAATTGGTTTCTTTGTTTCTTCTATTACAACTATTTGATGACTTCTGACCTAAAGTGTTGTATACCTTAAGAAATATCCATCAATAATGAATAAATGCATTCATTTTTCCGCCAGTAATATTTTACTCAATTCTGCCTAGTTTTTGTTGAGATGGTTAAAGTGTCACCGACCGAATCGAGAGGTCTAGGTCGCTACCGTGAAAAAATTTAAGCAAATCAAAGTAAGTTTAAAATTATTTATGAAGCACAAAATATTATTAAATAAGTATTAGTAGCCAGTAATATATTATATTAGAATTTAATTACAATTAATAATATTCATGTTTTAACACCTCGCGGTTATATTCTAAGAAATTAATTTTTAACCGAGCCACATGTGGCACTGCGTGCTTTAAAAGGTTAAAATTCGGTGTGCTTTGTTTTGTATGGGCTGGCACCGATTTCGAAAATATTTGATTAGGTATGTATTTAATAGGTAGGCTTTAATTACTTAGCCAAAGCACACCGACTTCGAAAATATTTGATTAGGTATGTATAGTAAATAAAAACTACCAATCAGTATTTTTTTTACTTTTTAGTGCTTTTGTTTGAAGTCGGTTCTTTTTTAAGTTTTTATTTTTCCCTTTTTAGTGTAGACGGTAGTAGCTAAGTAAGAATTCTAACGTTTTAGGCTTGTCAAATCAAACAAAATAAGCCCAAACTCAAAGTACTAGTCAAAGTCTACTATTAGCCGTTGAAGAGTTCCATCTATCCACCTTCTGGCCTTATCATCAGATCAGGTCAACAATACCGAACCACTGTACTATCAACGGAAATAGAAACACTTGCAAAGTTTCAAGTCAATATGACAATTAGAAGTAGGTTAAATTCATCATTAGCTATTTTTCCACCCTTCTTTCAAAAGAAAATACCACCCGGTATTTTCTTTTGAAATTTAAATGGGACCAATCTGGAACTATACACTTTCAAACAACACAAAAATTGTCCAAGTTGGTTAATAAATGACGGAGTTCTGAGGTAACAAACAAAAAAAAAGAAAAAAAATACAGTCGAATTGAGAACCTCCTCCTTTTTGAAGTCGGTTGATAATTCATATAATTTTATGATTTTTCTATATTTCTTTATTGTATTCAGCCCTTTTTAATGTCCCACTGTTGGGCACGGGCCTCCCTTCAATGCGAGGAGGATCAGGCCATGGTCCACCACGTTGGCCAGGTGCGGGTTGGCTAATTTCACATGTCTTTCGAAAACTTGCTTGGTTCTCTCAGACAAGCAGTTTTCCTCAAGATGTTTTTCTTCGCCGTATGGCAAGTGGTAATCGTGTTAGAAATGATTCGACATGAAAATATCAGAGATGCGAGACCCGGGATTTGAACCCGCTTCACTCGGTTTCCCAAGCGAGCGCGTCACCACTGGGCTACTACTATTTCTTCATTAAATATTAGCAACCATCATTATAAATAGAGAACAACTTATAAATAAACAATTTGTATCTTTATTGTATTCACCAGATTGGCATTAGAAGGTATTGCAATAGTTTTTTATAAAATAATATTGATAAAGAAGCAATATTCTTATACAATATTAATTTCATTATACCTTTAGAGAATGAGTACAAAAGATTTCAACGATACTGCAGCTCGCATTAAGACATTTATTAATTTCAATCTATTTTGTTTTTTTTAATCACAAGAAACTAGGTCCCGACTTCCCTTACAAAATAACTTTAATTATAATCTAGAACAATTTGCTTTGGGTCAAAGGAAAGTTGTCGAGAATATAACCTGCTACCGTCAATAATTAGTTAGCAATAGATTTTTTATTGAGCCATTCATTCCGCTCTCCTTTTAATTCTTACGAATTATGTGGCATAAATATCTACTCTACCATCTATACTACTATATATAGCATCTTTACTTTCAAGCTTTTAATTAGAATTATGTTGTATAATAATGATAAAACCGGGTTTAAGCGCATGAATTCGTAAATAGAATTCGTAAATAGGTACGTTATTCCCTACGTTTCGACTGGGTTGCACCAGCCGTAATCATAGATAGACTGGCGATTTACAGTATTATGTTAAAATTAACGGATTCAAAATATTTCAAAGTCACTTTTTCGGTCTTCCTACTTAATTATTCAAGCCTGACAAAACCTGACATTAAAAAATAGCTAAATATCGGTTAGTAAATTTGCTTTATATAAAAAGATAGGAAATTCATGTGCGGCTGGCTATTATGTAACAATGATGAAATAAGATAGTAGTCTAGTCTATGTTACTTCCCGTATATACATAACTATTTCTATAAGAAAAATTACATGGAACAGTGGCCTTCATTTTACATTAACAACATTATTCTTATTCACGTTAAAAAGTAAATTGTAAAATATAATACAATCCATACAGAAATATAATTTTTCTTCCATAATACATGTTAATTTCTTCACAACCGCGGACACGCCGGCGTTACAGTTAACAATAGATTTCTTAGATAATTAATTTCTTAGAAATTTACCTGGAGGTATAAAGATTAGGCAACTTTTTAGACCTGAGATTTCAGAATTGTCTGAAAGGAATCAAAATTCAATTGTTACTTCGGGCTTAGATGTTCATTAAACTGTATAGGCGTATAAATCTTGGCGAGGCGACGTTCCATATTTAAAGTGATTGATTCGAATAAATAAAAAAATAAATAGTTTTATATTGCACAAATTAATAAAAATTAAAGTAATCGTAATAAATTACGTTCGAGTTATTTTTTCACGGTTTAGTAAAGTTATTATTTATTACAACAACAGCCAACCAGAATCAGATTCAGATGTTTTGAAACACAGCAAGATGATTGAAAAACGTGAGTCAAGGAAATGTTGCAGTTAATAATGTTTTTGCGCCTCTGTGAAAATCAAAAGCGTTCTATTTTTAAAGTAACTACAAAGTAAATAAAATCTTGCAGCTGTTTTTACAGTATATCTTTATTTATGTTTACATATGCGTTTATAATAGAATTATTTAACGGTATAAAGTTATACTTGGATATTTTTTCAAAGTTATGACTGGGGGAAGTTAGGGATATAATGCTAAAGCTAATCACACTTAAATATTGTTATATTCCTGATGAAAAGCTCGTGTAAATACAAACGTTTGCTTTTGTAAGCTCAGACCTGGATGTCCTGGGCTAATCTTTGCCTGATTTTTCATCATAATTGGCAAATCATATCGTCCTACTCGATTTTGAGGGTAAGCTCATTTGTTCTTACGCAGAAAGCAAGTATCAGTGGTATATTATTGACTAACATGACACATTATTATTGTTATTCGTTAAAAATATATGTTACACATTGGTATAATAACTAGAATGATATAAATTGGTTTATTAAGTATAGATTATCAGACAAGGTCTTATTTTATTGAGTTTTAAACAATGATTATTTGCGACCTCTATCAGTTTGCGGAAGTAATTCAAACTAGTTTTCAGCGTACCTAGGAGTTTTTATAAGGTACCGACATACTATATATATATATATATATATATATATATATATATACATACGTTACAAATAAAAATATGATTGTCATTATATAACAAGATTAACTCTTATTAGCGTGTATCATCTTTTTTTCAATACTCTATCACACACGCTAATAAGAATAAGCGCAAATTATTAAACTTTTTATATCATGAGGATCATATTTTTATTTGTAACGTACCTATGTAATATGTATAATATATTAAGCTTTACATATATTTCGGAATAAAAATATTTTTTCATATAAATTGAATATTCACTCAACAATTTATATATTCCTATAAATATTTTAAAATATATCATTCATAAATTAATATCTCATGACCTTATAAAAATTCGTGCATTATTATGCTGAAAACCAGTTTGAATTACTTCCGCAAACTGATATAGGAAGCAAAATCTTTTCCAGGGAAATTTAGCGTAAGGAATCAGTATAGGCAATTGAAATCAAATACATAAATATGTACATAGGAGATACTTTTAAAAAAGCCCATAAAAAAAGCTCAAATTGATTGTACTACTTTTAGCAGGTCGTTCGAACGTTAATCATTGGGCAGTACTACAAAGTATAATTCTCAGGAGTTTGGAAGTAGTTATTTTACCTCAGGCTTCAAAAGACATGTTAAACCACCTGTATAGTGTATGTCGAGTTCCATAAAAGTACTTACAGGGAAGCCCTACTGCTCCTGACACCTCTTTGTTTGTATCGCAATGCAGACAAAATAACATTATAATATACTTCAATGTTTTTATGCCAGATAAACGTAATTGCGTAATTCAAAAAAGTATTTTAACCAAAAATTTTACTGGCGAAACCGTAGATCTAAGCTAGTCTCATTTTCAATTTGTAAGGCTATATGAGATGTAAACTCAATACATTGCTATAGTATTAACAATTGGCATTAGGCTGTCAAGGCTTCGCAAGCACGAGTCGTCGCGTCAGTCACTTACGACTTATGTATTAAATATTAACCTATTCGCGCTAGTTATTCTAACTATTAGACCTAGGTTAGTTAAAGTGAGACTTAGCAGCCTAAGTTTATAAAGAAACTGTATAATACATATGATTTATTTTTTTCATTCAAAACGGAACCCTCACAGAATTTTCCATGTGTTGCGGCTTATCTTCAGTGAATCCACTTAAGAGAAAAGGTTCAAATTTCGTATACCTTATATTTATATTATAAATAATGAGTTACATAACCCAAAAACGTATGTTAATAAATAAATACTAATAACAAATTGTTTTAAGTTTTTGCATTGTCCTAGTACTATTATATACTAGCGGCTCAACCTCGCTTCGCTCGGGTTCGCCTCTAGAAAAACAGAAACAAATCTATCCCTCGGGACTCGTATATTTTTCCTGGATTAAAAATAGTCTATGTGTTATTCTAGACTATAATCTATTTTTGTGCCAAATTTCATCCAGATCCGTTTAGCCATTCTGGCGTGAAAGAGTAACAAATATACATCTATACATACATTCTTACAAGCTTTCGCGTTTATAATATTAGTAGGATTACGTATATGTATCTCTACCAAATAAGGCATGGTGGATATTTTCCCACGAATTATAATTACATCATCCAAAACACTTTACTGATATATTCAATATCTATTACATACTCGTACGGTATATCATCACTTGCATGTCTAAAAGCCATAGAACAAAGAATTGAGGCCAATATTCAATCATTTATGATGTCTCGCAAAATTTCACCTTTCTGAATCCTCTTACCTAACCATTATAAGATCATAAAAGCTAGACAAAATGTACTGCATAAAAAATCATATTTGTGTTACTTTCTTTAATTTGATCACTTAAAGGAAAAGTTAACTTATCCTGCGTCCACTGTAATCTAAATAAAGGATGAAAACAAAAATTATTACATTATTTTTAATAAATATGTTAATATTAAATACTCTACATCCAATAAGTAGATGAATGAAGAATGACCTTACTACAAATCTTCTATTGTTTAAATAACGATTTAATAACTAACTCTACTGAGCACACAAAGCTGGTAACGCTGTCTTAATGATTTTAATATAGAGAGGTATTGCTTTGATTTAGACTATTTCACTAATCACAAAAAAAACATCAAAATAAGTCCAGCATTTTCTTCAAGTAACACGAAATTTATTAGATATATAATACGTTATTGTACACCACAAAGAAATATACAAAAGAGGAAATCAAGAAGTAGATGATGCCCAGGGCGTAGTAGTAATTATATAATACTACTAAGAGAGAAAAAAATCTAAAAACTATAGATTCTATGGTATAACAAAAACAGTTTAACCATTAATTTTTCAAAAATATTTAATGCTCTACATGACAGCGCGACGAATGTCTAATAAAATGTATAAAATGTGTATATATATATTTTTTTTTGTCATATCTCATACGATTGTAGAAAGACTACGAATTTCCTTGTTTGTTTTATAATACTAAAACCATGAATCAAAAATCAAGTATCAATCGAGGGTCGCTTCTCAATATAAATACAGTGAGAATGGCGCGCGTGTTTAGTCAGTACAGTGCCCGTGACCGTCATGTCCATACTCAAACAGGTTTGTTTTATTTATCATATTATGATATTGATATAATTGCATTTTGTTAAAATTTAATGAGTTTTTTTAAATCTTTTAACTGCTGTTAGTACTAAAATTTGCCAAAAGTGGCGCTGTCTGTATGTATGTGTTATATTCAGCCCTTTTTAACTTTACACTGCTGGGTACAAGCCTTCCTTCAATACGAGGGGGTATATTGCGTGGTGGACTACCCTGATACTACATATATACCACCACGCAGGCCAAGTACGGATGTGGATCTTTCGAAAACTTGCTGGGTTTTCTCAGACATACAGGTTTCCTTACGATGTTTTCGTTCACTCTAAGACAAGCGGTAATCATGTTGAAAATTATTCGCATATGAAAATATCAGAGGTGTAATACCCTCTATATAACGTTATAAACACATGAACATACAAACTAGGGTAAGTCTCTAGTAAGGAAATGAAACTGGCGACCCTCTGCATAGTAAGCAATACCAGTCATCCATTTTGAGCCATACCCTTGTTACATATTAAAATAAGACCTTTATATACATTTTAATATGACCCAAAATTTAACCAATTAATGTAAACAGAAATTCAAATGAAATTAACTTGCCTCATACTTTGAAACTTGAATCCAATGGTATTTGGTCTTTACGCTTACGAAACTACGAAATTCCGAGAATATATAGTTACAAATTATCTGAATACTAGCATTGTCCGCGGCTTCGCCCGCGTTCAGATGACCAAAAACCAAATTTTTATACTCTTACATTGCAGTTTTTATATTTTTTTCAGAAATGAGACATTGTCTCGCGGTAAAAAGTCCTATATGTTGAACCGGATAACCAGCTATCATCATACGAAATTGCATCAAAATCCCTCCAGTGGTTTTTCCGTGATGCGGTAACAGACAGACAGACAGACAAAAATTCTAAAATCTATAGATTCGGCCTCTGTATCGTATTTAATGTACAGATTCGGCTTTGTTACAATTTTATTATATGTATAGATAGGTATACCATATTTCTATTATTTACAGTTTTGTATGTGTTTCTGTTTTTTGCAATACAATAATTTTAAAGGAATTTTATAAAGTATATGAATAATTTTCTCTTTGTATTGGTTGTTTTTTTGAGTTACTAATCTGAATAATAATATATTTTTAGAACATGAAACGCAATGTTCAACACCTATTGCTTTATAACTTTTTGATATCATTTCGTTATGTAATAAAATAAATTACTTTGTTCCTCTCTGACTGACACCTAGGGTTACAAAAGGATAGACACATTCCATTTTACAAGTATACTGCTTATAAACAAACCGAGTAATACTCGTAATAAATATTAATAAAAAAATACTTATCGATATCTAAGGGTTGAATATTAAATTGTGTAGTGTTTGTGAAAGAACTTCAAGTGCCTACTAGGGAATTATATTTTTATAGACGCGGTACCCTTTAAGGATACAGGTACTTAAACGGAACGGAAATACACCTTTTATTTAAATACTTGTTTGCATATATTTTTCTTAAGAAAAATTTACAATAATAATGGGAACTTATATTATTAAACGTATCTAATGGCAAGTTAAGAAATAATATATATCTTATATAAATATAAATTTAAATCAAACACAAAATCCTCCTTTGGGTTTCGCTTAAAAAAATTGTGTGAGGAATAGTATATGTTTGACAAAATAACATACATAGGTAAGGTAAAAAATAAAATATTTCTTTCTTTCTTCGACGACACGTTTGGCTCAGTTTGTAGTGACCCTACTTGCTGTGCCAGCGGTCGCAGGTTCGAGTCCCACTGGGGGCATTCATTTGTGTAATGAGCACGAATGTTTGTATTCCAGTCATGGTATTTATATTTATAATATGTATGTATTTAAAGTTATATATGAGTTGTGTATCAACTACCTGTTTTCCATAACACACGCCTCGTAGCTTACCATGGAACTAGATGGTGCTGTGTGTTAATGTTCCAACATGTTTATTATTTATTATTATTATTATTCTTTGTATTAATTCTACAGTTCTTTATCATCTATCTCTTTTCAGTAATAAGATTGATAAATGTACATGAATTTGTATGTATTTGGAAAATTATGTAATTGCAATGAATTTTAAAACCATAAGAAAATCTATAGTATAAGTGGGTTTACGCATCACTTACCATATAAGACTTTAATCGTTTATTCGTGATGTACTAATATAGATACATTATAAATAACTATGAACTTATGAAGAAACTTTAGAGAGCGTTGCTATAAGTATGGTGTGTTGATGGAATTTTTGAATGCAAGGTTACTTACATCTTAGAATGTTTTTATTGGCTATTTTCATTTGACTTAGAATTTAGTTAATTACCAGAAACCTAATTCCATTTTTAAATAGAATATTTTAATAATGTTCTTTGTAATGCATACAGTCAATTTGAATACAATTGGAAAAGTCGCTAGTATCTCAAAAAATTACATATTTGTTAATCTATATTCTATCATCATATAATAAAATTCTAACAGTCAAATCTGTACATTAAATATTTTTTTGGAAAACCTTATTGAAATCGTTATCGATACAGAGGCCGAATCTATAGTTTTTAGAATTTTGGTCTGTCTGTCTATCTGTCTGGGAACGCACCATAAGAAAACCACTGGACAGATTTTGATGAAATTTGGTATATCGATAGCTGCTTATCCGGGTCAACACATAAAGTACTTTTTACTGCGGGAAAATATCTCATCTCTGAGAAATCTGTACTAAACGTTAATTAAATAAATCTAATAAAATTTTTCATTAATTCAATTTCGATCTAATAAGCAATTTAGATTCGAGGTATCCACCTCTAATATTTTCAAGTATGAATCTTTGTCCGACGGTGAAAGAAAATATCGAGAGAGAGATACGTGCAAAGCTGAGAACATGGAGCAAGTTTTCTAAAGACATGTGAAGTCTACCAACCCGCACTTGGCCAGCGTGGTGGGCTATGGCCAGATCTCTCTTGTAGTAAATGGAGGCCCTTGCACAGCAGTTTGACGTAAAAAATCGCACTAAATACATTATTACATACTTACAGCATAAAATAGTATCAGATAATAAAATTTTGTACAGGAAATACGTATGTAGTTTATTTGCAATGTTGTCGACGTCGTACATAATTTGCCTTGCTTTGGACTTAAGTTAAAGGTTTAGTTCTGGGTTATTATTTAAAATAATAAATAATAAATGAGCTTATAAGTTATCTGTAACTATTTAAATTTTTTATTATTATTATTAATGACATATTAATATTTTTTTTATATAAAATAGCGACTCACTTCATTTCGCTCGGGTTCGTACCTAGGTTGCCCATACAAACTTTCATTCCCATTCCTTAAGGAATGATTTCCAGGATAAAAACTATTTTGTGGTTTTCCAGAGTCTCAAACTATCTTCTTACGAAATTTCATCTAAATCGGTTTAGTAGTTTCGTAGCCTATTCGGTACAAACAAACAAACAAATAAACACAAAATCTTTCCCCTTTATAATATTAGTATAAATATTTTTTTATAAAAAAACATTATGTGATATAGGAATCGGTAAAATGATGTACAGTTGCTTTGCTGCAGCGTCATCTAATGGCGAGCTTCAGCAAAATGCAAGGATATAAGTTGTAAGTGTCAAATGCTCATTGTTCAACCCTTATGTCAAAATTTCAAAGATTTTCACAGGTGTCGGAAATATGCAGTTTTGCACAAACATACATTCACATTTTTATTTCTGATTATTTATTATTATTATTTCTAATAATTCATCCATAACCATTAACCATATTGCTTTAAATAAAACTATCTTTTCGGATTATTTCGCGGATTTATTTTGATTTTTGGTTCAAATAATCTAACCACCAACAAACAACCAATAGTTAGAACCAAATATCAAAAGAAATCCGCGAAATACTCCGAAAAGATAGTTTTATTTAGCTTTCTTCCCAATACAAACTTTCATCCCCATTTTCACCCCCTTAAGGGATGATTTCCGGGATAAAAAGTTTATCTAAATCGATTCAGAGATTACCCCACAATTAGAATTTTACAATTATAAGATTACAACGTCACAAACTCACAATCTCAGAAACTCACAAACTTTACCTCTTTATAATATTAAGTATAGATGTCAAATATTCGCGTAAATGAAGTCGCTAAGAAAGTATTACATTGCTTTATTTAAAAGAAATTCTATGATGTATTATATAAAAATAAAATTTTACGCGGGTGAAGCCACGGTAACTAATTACGTATATATTAATTGAAATTCTTAGTATAAATAAATACGGCATACATACTCGTATATTGTACTAGTTAATAATAATCACATCACAAATCATTTGTCATGGCAACCTAACTAGATCAATGTAAAATACTGTACCGATAAGGTCTCATTGACCTCTAAATAGAGACATTGTTTCTGTAAGCTTAAAATTTAACCTTCAAAATAAAATAATGTAAAATATTCGCGTAAATCTATATTTTTTTTTGGAAGAAAAGTTTGATGTCAAAACTTGTGTTTTAACTTTTGTAAAATTATTGTGTGTTCAAAATTTACTACAAAATATATCTGAAATTTACATTAAAACTTTGAATAACAGTGTAAAAAAATGTTTTAAAAGAAAACTATATCGAATATTGTGCATACTACAAGACGTCCGCGATAAACAATAGCATTCCCAAGGAGGGTTGACGTCAGTCAGGCGGCCGGTCGTAAAACTTTTGCCAAATCCCATCAGCAGTACAGAAGATGTACTGCGCCAATCCCAAGTGATTGGAAATGGGCAGGGAGATGATGATGATGATTCGCGTAAATCTAAGAGAATATTATTTTTTATTTGAAATAAATCAGTATATATACGTTAGAAACAGATTACAATCTATACATATAATAAAATTGTAACTAAGCAGATTGAAATAAACATTAATATCGATACAGAGGCTGAATCTATAGTTTTTAGAATTTTTATCTGTCTGTCTGTCTGCCTGTCTGTCTGTTACGGCATCACAGAAAAACCACTGGAGGGATTTTGATGAAATTTGGTATGTTGATAGATGCCCCCCCCCCCCTGGTCAACACATAGGATACTTTTTACCGCGGGAAAATATCTCATTTCTGAGAAAAATTAAAAAAACTGCAATGTTTCTTACATTACTAATATGTAAAACCTAAGGATTTGGATTTTGGTCATCTCGACGCGGGCGGAGCCGCGGGCAGTGCTAGTTAATTAATATAGCTGTTATTTAGAATTTCACATAATTGCTAATACTGGGTACATATTTCTGTTGCTAATGATCTTATAATGTTATTTCCAGATCATATATCTACTATGCCTCGTGTGCTTCGCAGTATGCGCCCCGCGACCGGATAGCGGTGGCCATGCTCCTTTACCAGGACCTGGACTCTCTTATGGTAAGCTGTAATTTTTTCTTATCATGTAGTTGCTTAAATTAGTGAGTTATAAGTGAGTTAGAATTGTCTGTATAAAATGCGTGATTTTTTAAAATAATTACGTTGGTTTGCTAATTATATTGTGTAATAAAATTTAAAAAGCCACTTTTACTGAGTTATAATGTGAGACAGTATTAGTGTAAGATTATTACATATGTACGTATTATTTACAAACGAACAAAACGCTATTTAAATACTAAAATTGTACGAGTATTAAATAAAGGAAATTTAGCAATCATTAAAATACTAGCGAATTACACTAACTTCGCTTGATTGCGTCCATATGTGTTTTTTATATTTATAAAATCACATTTACATGTAGTGCCACCTCTTGGCAAATCTTAATACCAAAAGTAGCCTATGTGTTACGCCAGATCTAAACTATCTGTATACCAAATGTCATCCAAATCCGTTCAGCCGTTTCGTCGTAAAGGGGTACAAACATACACACGTACAAAAAATCACATAAATAATAGTTATATAATATTTTTACAGGCGGCATCCCCTACGGTAGTATGAGTGGAAACGTAGCTGAATACTTCAGAAATGGTCCGAGACCAGTGTACGGGGGCCTTCGAAGCGGCGAACTAGACTACGCACCGATCGAACAATACTTATAGCACACAATGAGACCACCTGTTTTAATTTATTAATTGTTTTAATATCTGTATATAACAAATAAGTATAATAATGTATAGTACATAATAATAAATTAATTAATATATAATTATTTGCTTTTATATTATGCTGTTGTTTTCGTTGTACGTTCTTTCTTAGTTTTTATCCAACTGCAGTAAGGCCTAAAGCAGGACTATGTGATTGTCCTGTATGTATATACATATGTTCTATTATATATAGAGTATATGTGGCTCGTAAAAGGCTGAAACAATTTTGATTGATGAACTATACCAAGTTATCTTAACAACACGAGAGTTATGACTGATTTTGGGAGTTAATCGTTAAAAATGTATAGTACTAGTACAAATGTATAGTACAAAACCAAAACTAAAAAGATGTAAGCAAAAAATTAAAATAGGTACAAAAACAAAAAAAACGAATTTATACTTACTTATTTTCGTTCTTACTATTACTAATTTAAAACAACTTACACCTAAAACCTTTATTTCAGGTAAAGTTCATAGTTTAATGGTCAATCAATGAACATGCTTCAACATATAAGCAGGCGTTAAAAACATGTATAATTTATTTGCCTTTACTAAAAATATATTATGTAGGTACTAGCATTGCCCGCGGCTCCGCCCGCGTTTAGATGACCAAAAACCATACTCTTAGGTTTTACATATAAGTATACTCTTACATTGCAGTTTTTGTATTTTTTCTCAGAAATGAGATATTTTCCCGCGGTGAAAAGTATCCTATATGCTGTCCCGGATAATCAGCTATCACCATACCATTCTTTGGTTGGTTTGGTTTTTCGGTGATGCGGTAACAGACAGACAGATAGACAAAAATTCTAAAAACTGTAGATTCGGCCTCTGTATCGATAATAATGTCTATTTCAATAAGATTTTCCAAAAAATATGCATATAAATATGTATAGATTTGCTTATAAAACCAATAACCGCTAGTTTGTAATGACGTAACAAACTATATCCATGTTATTCCCGTTTTAAATGATTCCGACGATAAAAGTGTACTATTTGAGTAAATAACTGCAATAACCGCTATTTTTTCTTATAGACACTATACACATAAATACTAAGAATTATATATAGCTCTGACGTCGTAATTTTTCTAAACAGTACTGCGTGTGCCTGCGCGTGCGTGCGTGCGTGTGTCCGTAAGTGTATGCATATGTGTATGTTTGTCTTTGTTACTTCTTCACGGGGAAATTCAAAAATATATATCTAGATATATGCTTGTATAAAGTAATAAGCTTATAAATTATTCTATTTAGTACTTCAGTTATTTTCCGGTCCATAAAATAACAGCTCTATGCAACTACTCGTATTACGTAGATTTTTTTGAGAAATAGTAATAGATTCTATTGCTTCATAGCTACGTAAAGAAAGATAAACAGACAAACCTTAAGTACTAATGTTCCAGCCACATGTAATATAAGTATGTAATAAGTGCAATATTTAATTGATGATATAAGTAAGTCAGTAGGTCACGTGACACGCATCGATTGTCGAATATAGTATATCGTAAACTCACTTGTGTATATTTATTTCCAATACTGTGTACTATATTTTTCTAGTAAAGGCAAAATTTATAATATTACTAGCGGCTCAACCTCACTTCGCCCGGGTTCGCCTCTAGGAAAACCAAAACAAACCTATCCCACGGAAACCGTATATTTTTACAAACTTTCACATTTATAACATCAATACGTAAATATACATTCAATTTTATTAAAGGTATAATAATAATTGTTTATTTGGCAATTCTTAAGGTTGCAAAAAAGACTCCTTACAATATAATTGTTAAACTTAAAAGTATTAATCCAGAAGGAGTGCTGAGGAGCTCGTACTAGGATCGTGACTTCTAAAGTTACAATATAAAGACTAATGGTTAATATGGCTGATAAAGTTAGTAGATTATAACGTTAGGTTAGTGTGATACGACTAAACCGACTAAATTGAAGCAAAATTGAAACATACAATTTGCACTAAACAATTCAAAACGTTAGTGATGCGATCGTTTTCTTTGAATGCGAAATACTTACGTGAACGGAGCCACTGGTAGCTATGATTTTCAGTATTATAATTTAATTTCACTTTTACAATACAAAAAAAAACATTTTTAAAATAAATCTAATAAGACAAAGTCAGACATTAAAAAGTTTTACTATTCACATCCTGGCTCCACCTTTAAAACATGAAATGATGATATCAAATTATTGTAATTCAAATCGTTTCGACGTCTATTAGTTAATAAGTTAAAATCGACTGTTAAGATAAGATGTAATATCAATAACAAGATACCAAGCTTAGAACATTTGTATAAGTTAAGAATGTTAATGTAATGATTAAGAAAAAAAGGTACATCGACTTTGAAATTACTCATAAGTCATTATTTCACCCTGAGTGTGTATTAGTGTATGTCCTTCCTAGGGTATCAAACTATCTTCCTACCAAACATCTAAATCGGTTTAAATGTTTTTGAGCTTATTCGTTACAAATGTACAAAAATACAAATCTTTCCTCTCTATAATAGTAGTGTAGATTGAAATCTAACCAATTCTTTAAAAAAATATTAAATAGTTAACCCAATAAAAGCAGATAAACAGTTGTTATGTATATCTTTGTCTTTGAAATCGGTCAAAAATAAAAAGATAAATAAATAAACTATCGATGTGGCATTTATTCTACAGATTGGAAGTAAAGTTGACCGTACTTGAATTATACTTGGTTAATTACTGATAGTGATGAGGTGTTTTTGATTGAACATTCGTCGCGCTAAATTGTAATCGCTTAGAATAATTTAGATAACTAAGGTCACTTTTAGATATTTCCATAATATTATAAAAGGATGTTCTTTTATTTGTCTGTATGTATGTGTGGAAAAAGTGCGGAAGTACCAAATCAGTTTTAATTTTATTATAAATTATACAAAGCTAAACTATCTTTGAGACACACAAGCAATAACTACGTATAGCGCACGTAGAGTCACGTGTGAACGCTATTTTGTGATATATCCCAGTAATATTATAAATGCGAAAGTTTGGATGGATGTTTGTTACTCTTTCACGCCAGAACGGTTGAACGGATCTGGATGAAATTTGGCACAGAGATAGATTATAGTGTGGAATAGCATATAAGTAGGTTACTTTTTATTTCGAAAATAAATAGATTCCAGTGGAAGAGATTTGCTTTTGCTTTTTCGTTTCGGTGATCACATTAGACTAGAAATGATCGCAGCGATATCATAGCAACAAAGAAAATTTAAAAAAAATGGACAAATAAGCACTCAGACAATGAAATGTAACAAAATATGGTCATAGTTCTAACCCTCCATTTGTTCGGCAACGTAAAAACGCGAATTGTACATACGTATATACAAGTATAAGTCGTATATACATCTTATATATTTAAACGAGCTATTCTTGTATATATATATATATATATATATATATATATATATATATCAATATATAATCTGAATCTCGGAAACGGCTCCAACGATTTTCATGAAATTTAGCATGCAGAGGGTTTCGGGGGCGATGAATCGATCTAGATTAGTCTTATATCTGGAAAAACGATTTTTATATTTTCATGCGATTTTCTTCTACTTCATATAGCCTCTAAAGAAAAACAGACATACAATGAACAAAGGTATACATATCTTCACCAGAAAAACTTCTAGAAGTAAAAGCAGCATTTCCTACAACAAATCAACAGAACACAAGATTTATAGGCATATCAGAAACTTGAGAGACAGAAACCCTTTGCAATCATACAAGCATAATCTCCAACGGAGAGCTCTATGCAGGACTACTTTGGAGGAGGCTTTTAACCGAGAGGGGTCTATACATGAAAAAGACATTTACTAAATAAATACATTTAATTATGAAATTAAATACCTAATTTATAACTATTGTCAGAATTTATGTATGGAAAGAAATTTTATTTATATTTATTATTGTGAAATGTTTAGTATTTACTCAATTGAATTATTTAATTTATTGTGATTGTTTATTTATTTGTTAATGATAATTTATATATATACAATATCATTTCAAATAATATGAAGATTTTTAAAATAACTTAATTCCAGATTACAAAATTATTAGTTAAAAAATTATAAGTTAATAAATAGTCACTAAATTATATAATTTTATATTTCAGCAATGTGATATAGACATTTTTTTTATTGTACAACTAAAATGGCTCCTTATATACTCTTAACCAAATAAAATTTTAATGAAATACTTTTATAAAAAGCTGTGCATACTTTTAAATTAAATTTATATACAAATAGGTTTTTATGTAAATTTAGTTCGTAAGAATATTATGTTCGATAATTTCGCACGCTCAGATATAAGCATCATGGTCAAGCGGCCAATGCGCGAGTTTGACAACCACAGGTATCTGGGTTCGTATCCCGGTCGGACACAATGTTTTTAATTTTGTATTTTTTTTGTATTTATTCAAATTCTTAGTTTGTTTTTTTTTATGTTTTTTTTGGCCAAAAACTCCGAGCAAAGCTCGGTCGCCCAGGTACTATATATATATAATATATATATAATATATATATATATATATATATATATATATATATATATATATATATAGTTACATCATGAGATTGAATAATTTTATTCGAAAAAGTTATTTTTAAATCAGTTCCTTCGCTTACTAACCCAGTGACTTTCATATAAATTCAACAAAACTGAATGAAATATTTCCTTAGAATGGTTGGATATAAAACGTCCCATGGATATGCTATAAAAATTCTAAGCACATCGCATTTTGCGCCCATTGAGAGTTTCGGGGAGTTTCTGTGACGCAGATGTTTGAGAATTCCGCGTCAAGTACAGTCTATATATTAAACGTGACATCAATATAAGATTTGACTTACAATTTTAACGTTTAATGCAATGTATGAAGATGTATGTTTGTGTGAAATATTTTATTTATTTCTAATTGAATGGCAATTTTATTATTCAAGTCATGTTATATCCATGCGGTATTTTTAAGGGGTCATTGTGATATATTTGGTAATAGTTATATTATAAATATAGAAGAAAGCAGGACGTGTGAAGGAAATATATTGAACTTGCTACTCACCTCGTTTCGCTCGGGTTCGTCCCTAGTGAAATACAAAAACAAATCTTTCCCACAGGAACTGTACATCTTTCCGGTATGAAAAGTAACCTATGTGTATTCCAGACCATACTCTATCTCTGTGCCAAATTTCACCCAGATCCGTTCAGCCATTCTGGCGTGATTGAATAATAATCATCCATTTAAATTTTCGTACGTATAATATTTATGGAACTATTCTTAAATTTTTTATAACTACCATCATTAGAGCACTATATCAAGGGTTCAAGCCTCGACTATAATAAATATTTATATTATCTGTATTTGACCTGCTGTAAATGTAAAATAGATCCATAATGTTGGTATGATAAAGTAACTTCGTTATAATAATACTAAGGGATTTAAAATTGAAATTATTCTATATCTAAGAAATATATCTTTAATTTAATACCTACCCTCAAACACTTAACACCTGCGATCATTCTCCATTTATCTAGAGTTTTAGTATTTCTGAAAATTACAAGAAAAATACAAGTAGATATTTTTATGAATAACTTGTAAAACGAATAAATTTCTTTGAATTTAAATTTAAAAAATAGTTGAAAACAATCCACAAATTATTAAAGAAATAAGATCTGCTCCTCGTTTGAACTCGGTTAAGAATATAAAGGACCAACTATATGTACAAAGTACATACATACATATAGTTTAAACCAAAAGACTATTAATGTCTTTATAGCAGTAACTATCAAACAATTGACAAAAGAATCAATGACAAATGTAATGAGTAAAAGGAAGGACAGTAGATACAAGGCAGGTACCTACTTTGCACATAGTGAGACTAGAAGCGAGAGCGTTTAGCGGGACCACTATCAAAACTGTTTATCGTTCTTGAAAGTTATAATATAATAAATTAAGATAAGTGTACATAATATAATACATATATACTATAGGAAAATAAACATAACAATTAAAGATTTTATATGTAAAAGATACAAATAAAAAAAAAGAAATGAAAAACATAAAAAAAAGAGTGGTAACTCTTGAGCATACAATATAATATATTATTAACTACAAACTTTATTTTATAATATTAAATTGGCAATTCTTGTACATATACATATATAAAAAATATTTCATGTATTTCGGAGATTGATATAACGATTTGGATACAAGTTTATATTTACATTAGGTTTTTGTTTACATTAGGTTATAGGTATAGGTGTCTTTTCTGAAAAAACGCAATTTTTTTCCATCAGTAGCATTCGTGTTTATAACGTGACTAGTGACTCATCCTTGCTTCGCTCGGGTTCGTCCCTGAGTTGCTTCCCCATACAAACATTCATCTTCACTTTCACCCCTTCAAGCGATGATTTCCTCTCTCTCGAGTCTCAAACTATTTTCTTACCAAATTTCATCTACATTAGTTCAGTAGTTTTGGAGCTTATTCGGTACAAACTAACAAACAAACAAACAAACAAAAAACTTTCCTCTTTATAATATTAGTACAGATGTGTTAGATCGCTATCATCCATGCTATGGCATCATACTTATCTTGACCGACTGTTAGCGTCACTATTGTTTAGACCCCACTCACGCTAATTATGGTTCTTCCTCTCCCTCATTAGAGATCTAAATACCGAATTACAAAACATTGTTACTATTTTGTATGGATTTTGATGATTCATGTGCTGAAAATTTTAAATGGTTTTAATAAAACAGTTTATAATAAAAACTTTATAAAAAAAATAAAAACCGACTTCCAGGCACTAAAATGTAAAAAATAACTAAATTGGGGTTTTCATTTAGAATAGATACCTAATCAGATATTTTCGAAGTCGGTGCCAGCCGATGCAAAGCAAATCTAATATATTTTGATACGTAAGACACATATTTACCTATTAGATATTCATATCTTAAAATATAGTCCACTGTCACTATCCTCATATTATTGATGTAAATAAGATAATGTAATTGCTATGGTCCACTACAACATATATTGAATTCGTTTTTTTTTTCAACCACTGCACTCGTATTACCACAGTAATAGACATTACTGTATATTGAGATATGTAAGAAAATAAATTGATTACATACGTATTATGAGACGGAAATTCCTCTAAATTTCTAAATATAACAACTATATATAAAACTATACCTACGAGCCACTGGAGGGATTTTGATGAAATTTGGTATGATGATAGCTGGTTATCAATATATAGGATACTTTGTACCGCGCGAAAATATCTCATTTCTGAGAAAAAATACAAAAACTGCAATGTAAGAGTATACTAATATGTAAAACCTAAGAATTTGGTTTTTGGCCATATGAACGCGGGCGGAGCTGCGGGCAATGCTAGTAGATATATAATTTAAAGTATCTACATACAGAAGTTTCAAAATTGATACAATATACAGGAAAATGAGAACTATAAGTCTTAATTTTTTTGCGGGAACACTTTTGGTATTTATCTATATAATATATTATAATATAACTTGTTCATTAAAAACTCCTCTTTACAAATTGCCTAACGTTGTGCTAAAGAAATTTGAATGTAACTTTTTTTATTGTACAAGCAATCCAAGAGAATTTTTGTAGTCATACTTCTTTTGGGACGTTTGGAAAAAATAATGAGAGTAAAATTTTTACGATGCTCGCGGACACCGACTGCCAAAAAACGACATGATGAAGTTAGCTGCATTCCTTTTACAAACAAAGAGTCGGGACATACGGGATGAAATCTTTAGCTATTTTTGTTCTGTTACGCCAAAGACCAACCCAATTAAAACTCTCTACTGGTGTTCGAACTGTACATCTCTTATATCCATCCAGCCGCTTAAGCCTTAAGAAATAATAGACATACACGCATACAAGCTTTCGCATTTCTAATACATATTTGTTCGATGAGCATCTTTCAGGTATAAATTGTTCATTAAAAAAATAATGTAGGTATATAATTCAATTCGCACTTGGCGAAGATATTGCGTGACATGTCCCTTTATTTTGAAGTTGGTTAAGCAAGTTAGTTATTACACTTTTATATTTAGACATGACATAATAATTTAATTGATAGTTTATATTCATCTGCTATTTTAAATGAAACAATCTTTTCGGATTTTATTGCTGTTTTCTTTTTCTTCTTACATTTTTATTATTTTAATAGATTTTACGTTTTAACGTTTAGTATAGAATTCTCAGAAATGAGATGTTTTCCCGAAGTAAAATGTACCTCATACGTTGACCCGGATAACCAGCTATTATCTTACTAAATTTCATCAAAATCTGTCCAGTAGTTTTCTTGTGATGCGTTCTCAAACAGACAGACAGGCCAAAATTTCTAAAAACTATAGATCGGGCCACTGTATCGATTATAATGACTATTTCAATAAGATTTTCAAAACAATATTTAATGTGCAAATTGACTTAGAATTTTATTGTATGTATAGATTTTGGTCCCCGACGATTCGAATGCTTTAGTTTAGCTAAAGTATGAAAAGATAGTTTCATTTAAAACGTCAAGTATTCACGTAATCTAAAAAAGTCAATCTGATAGTAATTGAGAAGTTTAATTCTGATAATTTAAGATTTATATCAAGTCTAAGAGATCTCTAGTATTAAGTCCCACTAAGGTTTTAAGACCATGCCATGGGATTCCTTACGGGTGTAACTTGATATTATTGATTCTTCTATTACATGAATCCTATAAATTACTGCACGTAAAAAATCGTGTAACCCCTTTTGTTTAGCGAATACATATAGAAAAATAGGATGTCATATAAAATGAGATAAAAACTTATGAAAAATATTTTATTAATTACCGATATGTACATAAATATAATTTAAATAAAACCATATATATCTTGTCTGATTTTTTTGCGGATTCAATTTACTTTTTTATTACCAAAGTTTTGAATTAGTCGTAATCTAAGAAAGTACATATTTCAAATAAGTATATATATGTAGGTATATAACATATATATACACTCACAAAGTACTCTATCATATTCACTATTAGTATGGTGTAACAAATTTGCCATAGCGTGTCTCTAATCCCAAACACCATGGAGGTCAATAACACAGAAGGAAGCCCACTGATGCGTGTTAGGACGCGACAGTCATATAAAATGTTGGTCTCCAGGCTCTATGGACAGTGTCATATAGACAGTGGACTCGACATGGCAAGTACAGTAAGTACACAATTGTTATTTAACTAATAACTTTAATTACTTTCTTAGATTTAGGCGAATATTTGACATTTTAAATAAAACTTTTTTTCGGGTTTTTTTTGCGGATTTATTATACTATGTCGCGGAGAAATTCTCCCATGACCATGATTGCTATAAAGCATTCGAAACGTCGAGAACTAAAAATCTAAATTCGCGAAAAAAAATCGAAAAATTAGTTTTATTCAAAATAGTCTTAATTAAAATATTATTTAAATATAAAAAACAAATTTAAACTCTTGAAATACAATTGTTTTGGTTGTAATAGAAAATAAGAGATTAGATTAAGTTTTATGTAAAAAAAGTAGTAGACTGCTACTACCTACGGCATGGCATTATAATCATTTTGTGATCGCCATTTTATTTTATTTTTTATGTTAAGTAAAGTGCTTGTATAAGATTTTTTTTACTAAGCGGGCAAATTAAAAGTCAAAATAAATATATAATTATGGCAGAAGATATAAAAACAATATTTAAAAAACCAATTGTCATAAATTATAGAAGGAGTGAAAAAAAATATAAAAAACAAATAAATAGCCAAATTAATATCATTTATTATTTTAAGGTCGTACTACTCTTCACTGCCTACTTGCTAGCAGTAGCGTTATGTGCACCTGCGCAAGAGCAAAAAGAACTTCTGAATGAAAAAGAAGACCTACAAACTGCAGCATCTCATTGGGGAGGTTACGGCTATGGCGGCTACGGACACTTTGGTCATTATTACCCGTTCTACGGTGGCTACGGCTACGGATGGGGATATCCAGGATATGGACACTATTACGGAAGCTATCCCTATGGATTTTACGGACATCACGGATACTGGTGGTAACTATAAGAAGAAACACTGATTGATGCCTTCCAAAGATGAAATACCACAGAGTTATTAATAAGCAGATATGGATGAAAATGTGTGATACGTTTTAGTTTTATAAAGTTTATCATTTTTTTTAAATAGTGTATCTAGAATAATAAGTAAATACTATTTGTTCTACATGTTTTAAATTTAAACTGTGTTTTTTTCGGTCAAGATTCTCATCTTTTCTATGTATATAAGTCCTTATAAAGTAAGTAAACTATTAATATACTAGCATTTTCAAGCAGTTTGTTAAATTTTATTTTCACTCGTCATAACAAAATGCTTGTGGTAGGGGAGCCCACGAAGCTAAATGGGGATTTACTCGAGCGTCGTAGAGACCTATTGGGATGCAAAGCTTAGATGATAAGAAGAAAAAAATGTTATATGTGATATACCTTTACATCGGTGGGGGAAGCGGCTATAGATTTTTAAATATGTAAAAAAAACTGTTGCATAGACATCCTCGAGCGCGTCAGATATTGATAGCATCAATGCCCTACGTATTTTTAATAATGTACGTATGTTAATCTGATCGTTTGCATGATGGGGGTGGTTGTATTTAAGGGTTGAAAATGAAAAAAAAAAATGTAATCGAGCGCGTCAGATTTTCTAAGGGAGTGTTAAGTGCACCAAAAAAAAGCTCTCATTCACTAATCTGACGATTTCGATGGGACGCAAACTCGCGGCCATTTTCATAATGTGCAACAAAAAAAAATCGCCATTTTGAAATACTCAAGCGCGTCAGATTAAGATATATATGGTTCATCTTTATGTTCTAAAAACGTAACTGTCTCATAATCTGACGATTATCTAGAGGGATTCGCCTGATCTGACAAAAAAAAAATTGGAAAAACGGTTTCACCTTAAAGGCCATACCTGCAACTTCCCGCTAATTCCATTCCTGGGCGCTTAAAATGTACTTATGACATTTTTTTGAGCTCAAAATATATTTATGTGATATTTTGAGCTCGCTGAGTTCAAAGAAATAATATTTCTATGCATTTGAGCTCTCCCAGCTCGAAAGTCTGGTAGAAGTTTCATAGAACACTATTTTTTGGAATTTTCAAACCGCAATAACTTTTTGAATAGATCACAGCAATTTTCAGACTTAGTGACAACATCATACACGGGGGTAGTCACGGGGGTTCTATCTACCGTAAATTTAATTGTTTTTTGTAAGGTACTTTCACCACAAAATACACATTTCAAATTAATGTCACTCATATTGAAATATTTATAAACTTTAATTCACACAAATAATATTAAAATAGCACAAAAAAAGCCCACAAAACGTTGGAAACATGTTGTAAACAGTATGCCACGTGAACGAGTCTTTATGATCAGTTGTGATAGTGTCATGGCGGCAGAAATCAGAGTGGGGACGGAGTGAGAGAGTAAATAGATAGAGAAAGAGTGAGAGAGGAATAGACACGCGGAGAAGGAAAATGTAGGCATCACGCAGCTGCACGCATTTAACTTTATCGACGAATTTTTTGTTATTTCGGCTTGCGGAAATCGTCAGATTATATATTTTTCATTATTCTTGCATTATTTATCCTTCAAAATAAAAAAAATTTAGCTACGCTCGAGAATGTCGAGATGACGTTTTTTTTTTTACAACTTTGTTGCCCTCCCCTTTTTTTACGTCCAACTCTCAAATTGTCAGATTAGTGGAATATACACTTTTTAGGATGTACTTACTCACCCTACCTTAATCTGACGCGCTCGAGAATTTCTGGTGGTCAATTTTTTTTTACTAATCTGATCCTGTATCCTTCACGGGCGGCCTTATATATGGGCCTCATGTTTTGTGGAGGTACTTAACCGGGTACAAGGTATCCCCCTGTATATTAATCTGCCGCGCTCGAGTAACTACAGAAAATCCCCTCTTGGGCTCCCCTACTATTGTCTTTACTTATTGACTTTGCGTCATATTAGATATTGTTTTTTAATAAGTTTCCTATTATATGAAATACTAAAATCGACTAACTAATCATTTCTAGTATAATTATAATATTATTTCATTTCATTTGTCTCAAATAATTTTTATTTATTTATTCTATATCATATGTAAAACTAAAACTGATCTAAATAAAAGTTTGTGATTATATTTTATATGTGTAATGGTAGTTAAAGTAATTAATTTACGTCTAAAAACGTTATATGTAAATAATTATATTTGAATGAGTAATAAATAATGAATCAACTGTGTGTGAGGTTTTAATTTAAGCTTTACTAGTTCTCTCCCGCAGCTCCGCTCATGTCATACTACAAAAAAAAAACATATATTAATAGAAGATTTCTTTATTTTCATTTGGGATTTAACTAAAATGCATTTAACATTATGTGAAAATAACAAACAATCACTCACTCATAACTTTCGCATTAGTAATATAAGTATAATTAGTATCTTTTTTTAAAGTAGGTACTCAATTACAGAACACCTTTTATAGCAATAAACACTAGTGACAGTTTATATTGTCCGCTTACTTTGCTGCTATCTACCTAGTATACCTAAAATAAACATAATTTATAATAATTTTCAGTATGTCAATGTAATTATAATAATAATAATGTTCTCCTAGCCGATTCCGGCTACGGCGGCAAATCTCATTGAGATTAGCCAACTGCGCAGGAGATATTATAGTGCTCAAGTGTACGCGCAGACATAAGTGCACTCTCTATTCCTATCACTCTCATACTCCGGTGGGACGACCACTCGACACGACCGGTGAGAGTTAAGGCGCACGACCGACGGCTTTACGTGCTTTCCGAGGCACGGGGGTGAAACACCGCCAACTTCCCAACTCCAGGCTGTTACTGAGACTTATTATACAGAAAGACTCAATAACTAAACTTGGCCCGACCCGGGACTCGAACCCAGGACCTCCGGGTGTGCAGCCGTACATGCTAGCCACTACACCACCGAGGCAGTCAATGTAATATATTACATACATATTTAATTTTATATAAAGAATACCGCCATACATTTTTATCACTAACTCCATCCATTATCAATGTCAATCAATCAAATCTATATCTATAGTATAATAAAACTGTACAGGTCGAATGTCTGTCTGTTTGTAAGGGCTAATCTTCGAAACTGTAAGACCGATTTAAATTAAATTTTTCATGATGGTACCTTATATCCCCGGTCAACATTTTAGGTACTTTTCATCCCGAAAAATTAAAGAATTACCGTGGGATAGTTAAAAAACTATAGTAATTTATACAGTTTAGTACTGTTGTATACTTATGCACCTAATTTAGTAAAATTTGGCATGCTGATACCTTATATTACCGGTCAAACAACAGGTTACTTGTTACTGTTGTTACTGTTTGTGCTCTTCTAGAGAGCGAGACGAACCCGAGCGAAGCGAGGGTGAGCCGCTAGTATATAATATAATAAAACAGTAACTAGAGAAATCATATATTAAATATTTCTGATTCCGATCTGGATGAAATTTGGTACAAGGATAGATTATAGTCTGCAATAGCACATAGGTCACTTTTTATCGAAAAAAAAATGCCTGGGATAGGTTTGTTTTTGTTTTTCACAGAGCTAGGGGTAGCTAACTTTTGGATATTAACCGATAAAACGTAGATACAGGAACAGGGACGTACCCAAGCAAACCGAGGGTGAGTCGCTAGTTGGACATAAAACTTCCCGTTTTTATATAGCTGCTGTATAATCTGTTGTTTCAGATAAAAATAATTAATTATTTATAAATAAAAGATTAAGTAGGTAGTAGCACCCTGAATGTGGGTTCAAATCCCAGGTCTCACATATCTGATACTTTCACATTTACGTTGACTATGGCCTGATCCCCCTCTTACTGAACGGAGGCCCGTGCCCACCAGTGGGATGTTAAAAATAAAAAATCCTTACACAATTGTAGATGAAATTATTAAGTAAAACAAAATTGCCATTTTATTTTTAAAGGCGCATATAAAACGTATGTAGAAAGGTGGGGTGGTCCGTGGTATGCTAAACTAAACTACCACTAACTAAACTTATATTAGCACAGATGATACAATAGTTGACTTTATTAGTATTAGTGTGAACAGTTACAATTCAAATCTTTATTTTCCGTAGATAATTGTACGGGTAATAAAAGTCTTTATTGACTGTTTCAAAATGAAAATGAATATGTGATTATTTTAAATTTGATTCTGTTTAAAACACAAAAAATGTGCTTAAGCTCAATCAAGGAGTATATCATAAATCTTATAATCTCGGAAGCTACAAACCCGCGTTAAATATCATTTATATTGCTTTGGCCTTTTAAAATTATAGTTAAGACTGAGTTAAAAAAATTAGGAACTCTACCCACAAGATACGTTCTATCATAAAAATAATGGATCAAATGTTTTAATTAGATTTTTGAGGTGTGACAATTGAAACCAATTAGTGCTATGATGTAATGTTTATTGCTTAAAAAATAATTATCAGTGACCAGAATTTGCAATATGTTAATATGTTTATCTACCGGGATATATATAAGTCAATTTTTAACGGTGGGAAATTAGCATTTTTTAACCTTGGGAAATGCATTTACGTACATACTACTTGCATATACACAGCGGATTATCACTGATGACTGACCGGAAACCCAACGAAACCTTCCCCGTCTTAATAAGGCGTCGCAGGATCGCTTACGAACTGAACTGCCACGCCCCGATGGCAGGTTTGCCGTAACAGACCACAGCAACCATGAGGTTGCTCCCACGGTCCACTCTGCTATCAGGGAAGTACCAGAAGCAACCCGCATGGTACACCGCCTGCAAACGTGGGCCGCCGGACGCTTATTTGCTTATTGAGCTTCTGGCCGGCTCTTCTCAGCAGAACTGCCTTTCGAGTCGGTTGTAGATTTCTCACAGACTTACATACTGACATTTGATTTAAATTTTAAAAAGGAACGACTACTGCTTGCAAAATTCTACTTAAAGAACGTCGGCACATTTTGATT